CTGAAACTTGACGTGCTCGTGATGGAAATGGACAAGGTAGAGCTGGAGCTTGAGCTGGTCACGCTAGAGACTGACGTTGCCATGCTGGAGCTTGATGTGGTTGTGCTGGAAATTGACGTTGCAGTGCGGGTGCTTGATGTGGTTGTGCTGGAAATTGACGTTGCAGTGCGGGTGCTTGATGTGGTTGTGCTGGAAATTGACGTTGCAGTGCGGGTGCTTGATGTGGTTGTGCTGGAAATTGACGTTGCAGTGCGGGTGCTTGATGTGGTTGTGCTGGAGATTGACGTTGCAGTGCGGGTGCTTGATGTGCTTGTGCTGGAAATTGACGTTGCAGTGCGGGTGCTTGATTTGGTTGTGCTGGAAATTGACGTTGCAGTGCGGGTGCTTGATGTGCTTGTGCTGGAAATTGACGTTGCAGTGCGGGTGCTTGATGCGGTTGTGCTGGAACTTGACGTTGCAGTGTTGGTGCTTGAAGTGGTAGACGTAGTAGTGCTGGTGCTTGACGTGATCGTGCTGGAACTGGACAAGGTAGAGCTGGAGCTTGAGCTGGTCACGCTAGACACTGACGTTGTAATGCTGGAGCTTGACGTTGCAGTGCGGGTGCTTGAAGTGGTAGTGCTGAAAGTTGATGTGGTGGTGCTGAAAGTTGACGTGGTAGTGCTGGAAGTTGATGCGGTGGTTGTGGTTCCCTGCAGCTCCAAATGCCACAAGTCTGAAAGATCTGACGCTGACGAATCCTCGCTTCCTCCAAACAGCCACATGCGATTCTGCGAGTCACGGGCAAAATAGCTTTTCCACCTGAGAGGGGGAGTGGTGTCGGCGGTTACCTCGGTCCAGACCTCCCCCCCAGGGCCCAGGTACTGCAGGTCGCTGCGCATGACGTTGCCATTAGAGTCTGCACAACCACTCCAGACCCACATAATCTCAGGTGATCCTGCGACAGCTACATGAAATTGCCTGCTAACAGGATTGTTGGCGACCACTTCCGTCCAACTTTCCGATGCCGTGTCCAACACATGCAAGTCATTTAGCGTCAGTGAAGAACCTATGCCACCAAAAATCCACATGCGGTTGCTTGAGTCCATGACAGCAACATGCTTATGCCTTGCACTAGGAAGGGTGCCACTTGCGGTGACCGGGACCCAATTCTCTGTTGGTGTGTCCAAGTAGTGCAAGTCATTCAAGTTCACGCCGTTGGCATAACCACCAAAGATCCACATGCGGTCGCTCGAGTCCATGGCCGCACTGTGCCTGTTCCTAGCTGTTGGCACAGAGCCCGTGGCAACGACCTCAGCCCAAGCTTCGGTCGCCGTGTTTAAGGTGAACAGTTTGTTTTTGCTCACGCTAGAAGCGGTTTTTCCGCCAAAGATCCACATGACGTCGTTGGAGTCTATAGTGGCCGAATGGAAGTATCGGACAGGGGGAGAGCCAGTGACGGAAACCTGGGTCCAGCTTTGCGCCACCGTGTCCAAGCGCCACACCTCATCAATTTTACTGCCGCCCCCGTTCACAATTCCCCCGTAGATCCACATGCGATCGCTGGAGTCCATCGCACAAGCACCGCTATGCCGCGCGGAGGGTGCGGAACCGCTGACGGTGACCTGGTTCCAAGCCGCCACGCCCAGCAAACCACCAAGAAATAACTGCCATGCGCGATATGCCATTGCTCGCAGTTCTCTGTTCTCTGGTTGGGTTGTATCATGGAGAAATTGGGTTGCGTTCCTGGTTTTGGGAGGCTTTTTGGGTGGGGCAGTGGTGACCCCCTTCGCCCTCCCCAAACCAACAGTGAACCAATGATGGTGTCAGTCGCTCGTTCGAAATGCAATGGTTGAAACACCCGCAATACAGTAGTTGGTATCCATCAATCTCCGTGCACCTCGTCTTCTCCCAAGGGTCCCCAACAACACACATCATAGCATTGAACTTGTGGATGCGAAAAGCGAACCCTGCTGACGCTTGTGATGCGGCTTGCCGGATGTCCAGCTCCACGTCCCGAACCCGACCGATTGCCGATGGCCTTAGCCTTCCGGCATCATCGCAAGAGGGGAAATCATAGGGAAGCCTCCTTCTGGATTGTGTTTTCTGAATGAAAACCAAAAGAAAGCCGTTGCCCTTTGGATCCCTTTGGAAGGAATGGATTCGTAACACTTCCTAAGACTGGCACGGCAGGCCTTTTTAACCGCCTCGCTTGACAAAATATAGGGGCCTCCCAAACATGTGGAGAGAGAAACGTACCTTCCCAAGAAAGCAGTAGCACAGCATGTCAGGACCTTTTGTCAAGACCGCGCCGATGTGGAAAAACCGCAGGGTGCCACTGAAGATTGATGCAACATTCGACGGCACATCCAACTCTGTTTCGCCTCCATCTTGCATGTGATAGGTGTGAACATTAGCCCGCTCAAGTGTGCAATGTCTAAACATGCCCACACGCTACCCGTTGAACCAGCTAGGATCCAAACGAGATCTCGAAAGGGAACCCACGATTCAGAACCCCCCTTGCAATATTGGTTTGGGGGTGGCCCATTTAACAGAGGCACTCTACTTTTGGGGGATGCCCCTGCTTAATCTGCCATGTACTCAACATTAAAGGGGATGTGGGCTTGCTTTGGCTTGCTCTGGCACTCCTTGCTCCCCGTACAGAACCTGGATCAGCTGGGTACAGGTATGCGTCCTAAAAGGGGCCCTACTTTTGACACGTGCTCGGCTGTGGCGAAATTTCCCCCAGTTCCGAGATGTCCATGTCACTGCTTTGCCTGCGACACGCGACGACCAAATCATCAACAAGTCTACGGCTTGGTTCCAGATTCTCTTCACCCACCTTTCTCTTTGGAAACCGCCATTTGTCCAGGGGCTTGGCCGATATGTTGTAGAGAAAGATCCCCGAAGCGAATGGGGAATGTAGAGTTGGAACAAGTTCAAGACGTATCCCCAGCATCGTTGACGTTCTTCCCCGGAATCCGCCATGCCCGGAGCATACCTGGAACGCGCCCCAAAGTCGCCCCAGCCACAGGCTGGCGAATTGACCCTAAACTGTTCAACCTTTGTACATTGACATGGTTTTGACACACAGCCATAGCCAGCGCGTCCGCTTGTCAAGATATAGACTGGATGGCAGCCCCCTGCAACCGGAAACAGTGGTGCCTGCTTGAACATGGCGACAAAGATTCGCGCAAGCTCGCGGTCAGCCTAGCACTTCCCGCGTGGTTTAGAAATTCAGCAAGGCAGTGACCATTAAGCCGAAGTCCAATCACGCAGGTGGTACTTGGATTCGGCGTCTGCATTGCCCAAAACACTCCGTTTGATGGGGACCATTCTAACTGCCATTCAAGGACAACACCCGTTCTCGGAACAAATGATGCGCATGCACCCCTCATTGGCCCATCAAACACAAGCGCACTGGGACGCAGCCTGCCGGTCCCTGCCTGAAGCAAAACTGTGCTTGACTGTTGTCCTCTTGTCGAAATGATGTTCCACCCTCAAGGAGGGTCTCTTCACATTTTTGGGGCAGGGGCAGCGTTTAACAATCGGGGGCAAAAGGCAACTGTTCTGTCCCTGACCACGATCGAAAACGGCACAAACCGACACGACAGAGTAGGGTGGGGCATCATTTCTCCACTGGTTATCGATCAAGTCAGACCATGATCGCCTTCTACTATGCGCTGGCGGCCAGCGGACCAACCCTCACCAGCCCTGACGCCTCCGCCAAAGTGTAGGGCCTCACCCTCCAGTTCGCCATGGCTGGGACTGGGCTTGGCCAGAGACGCGAACCGAAATCCAGCGGCCTAATCCCTCAAACCAACTCAAACCTACTCAAACCTACTCACAAGCTGACTCACAAACTGACTCAAAGCTGACTTGTGCTGTTCGGCGCCCTCAATGCCGTTGGCATGTCCTTCTACCCCTCAAAAATACCTGGGCTCGCCCTGCGAGAGCCATGGCTTGCAAAGGGGCTCAAAGCCCAAAGTTCCCGAGATCAATCCTTTCGCGAGGGTATTCGCACTGAGCAAAAATGGAGAACCCCCGTTTTGGATGGTGGCTAAAAGGGGAACAGTGCTAGGAAGCTCCCAAAATTACAGAGGCTCCTAATTGATCCAGCGTCTCTGGCTTGATCAACCATTTGATCCTTAAAGAGCTCAACATTGAGTCTTCCATAGTTTGCCTCTTGAAGCTCAATGGCTGCAGCGGCTGATGGCTTGCGGGCGGCCCATGCCTTCTCGAACTCTTTGTGCAGCAGCTTCATTCCAACAAGCTACGCAGAGCTGCTCAAATCCAGGGAGGTTCTCTGAATGTTGTCCATGCACACAACATCTTCCCAACTTGGTTGGAAGAATGCAAATGCTTTAATGCAGGTGCTTGCTGGCTTGAATTGGCTGTAGGCCTGCCCGGGATAAACCTCTGCCACAGCAACAGCTCAAGATGATACATGCGTGTTTTTGCATGTGATGGCTCATCTGCTCAATCTGCGGATCGCAATGCCGCGCTGGCCAATCGAAGCTGCGGCGTCCAGCAATGCTAGCGGCACTTCGTGAAGAGCTGCCATGAATGCGTTGAACTGTCCAAAGAGCTGTCAGAACCCGATGGACCTGCTTTGATGGATGAAGCCAAAGATGTGCAACGAAGGTGCAGCGATTGACACATGGTGAAAGCAAGGCGCACCACCTCGAGACAGGTCCCTCTGGCACCAGGTGCGGTGGATTTTCTCGGTCAGTCTGCAAAGCAGTCGGCCGCCTGCTGTGCCAAGGCTGCAAGGACCCGCTTCTGACCTCACAAAATGGGAAGTGTGTTGCTCGGTATTTGACAGGCAACCAAGAGGAAACCAACCTTTTCAGGGGACCCCTATTTTGAGAAAACCCCAAATGAGACGAGGACACAACGTCTAGCTTTGCGAAAGAATAGGAACCTGTCGAACCCAAACTCGTCCATATCAGGGGTGCATGATAAGAAATAAAGATGTCGAGGGCGTTACATTTAGAATCCGGTGCCACTCTGGGGCCACCAACCAACCCGCAGCAGCAGGATGTTCCGCGCGTTCTCGGGACGCACCCCAGGTGGAAGCGCCTCGCGACAGAGAAAGAACTCCTCTTCCAAGCCGTGTGAGCCAAAACTTTGCCTTTGCCGCCCGCTTCAAAAAAGCAACACACCATGCTTTGAACACAAGTGACGGCCTCTCTCCAAAAGATGTCGAAATGTCGAAAAAGAGAGAAAGATGTTAAACTACAGTGGGTGCATGATACAGTTGCATGAGCCTCACTACAGCTGGAGAAGAAACAAGGGCTGCGGCAGACTGCACTTGTTTGTGATAGAAACAAACCAGCATTTGCTACTTGGCCATCAAGCGGATCTACATTCCCAAAGATCACGAACTACAACCACTAATGGACCACGGCGGAGTCATGAGAGCTGTGATACAACCAACCACTATGGACAACCACTTGCCACAACACAACACTATAGCACCACCAACTCACACTGACCAAAGACTACGAAGGATCCTTGGAGGAAACACTGACTACTGGCAACTCGACGGTGACTACGCCATCCGACTACACAGCGCCCACGAAAAGCGCTCTTCACACCAGAAGACTCCGGATGCCCAATACCTACAGAACAACTAGACGACTGGAGACAAACTACAGTTGTCAGAACTGGCAAGGAATCGGAGATATTACAAGACTTCATGAAGCAGATTTCCAAAACCGAACTTCACAAACGACTACCCGGTGACGACTGGGTTGGTGAAACTAGGTTTAGGAGAAAGATGAATCCTACACAAAGGATCACAGGCAAAACTACAATCGCACGACAAAGCTCAAGCGCACAACATGAAAAACAACCAACAACTACAACCAGGACATCACTCACAAGCATTGACACACCGGCAGCTACATCCAAAATAACTAGACCACCGACACAACAAGAAGACAAGCAAGACTACTGAGGACGACAAGGAGAACACAGGAGCAGACACCACTTGGTACCACGCACTACAATGTTCATTCCAACAGATGGTCCAGGCACACCCACCAATTGACTCACTTGAACCTTACAGAACTAAAAATCACCACCAACAACTTCAACGAAGTCAAAAAAACACAAGGACGACTGGACCACAGCTGGTAACACTCACCTACCTTACACATGGACCGGTACAACACGGTTCACTGTGAAGAAAGGATACCACTGCATGGATGACAACATCCTTGCAGATGATGAACCACACGTAGAAGCACAACGAGCCAAAGGACTACGACAACCTCGCAAACCTACACCACAGGAAGTTCATGAACATGAACTCACACATCTTCCCTACAGAGATTGGTGTCCAATCTGTGTACAGGGAAGAGGACGACAACACAACTACAAAACACCACGAACACGACAACCCGTCGTTCAGGTCGACTTCGCCTACATCAAGACCAATCAGGAGCCGCTACCTACAGCAGTACTGACAGCAGTTGACGCAACTACACAACTGTGCATGGCATGTCTCGTTCCGGACAAGTCCTCAATGACGGACTACATGATCAACAACCTACAAGCATTCATTCTGGAATGCGGTCGCACAAATGGAATACTACAAAGCAACAACGAGGACACACTCAACACACTACTAAAAGCCACAGCAGCAAAACTAGGATCCGTGACAGTACGACACTCACCAGCCTACAGCAGTAACAGCCGAGGAAGTGTAGAACGACTACACCGAACACTACTTGGCCAAATACGCACCTTCAAGGCACAAGTCGAACGCAACTACGGGATTACACTCAACGTGAAACATCCCTTACTACCGTGGACCATACGACACGTTGCGTGGACTATCAACCGCTACGTAGTACACTCCGACGGCTACACCACCCTCGAACGACGCTGGGGACGCAACTACGAACGAGCAATCGTAGAATTCGGAGAAACACTACTGTACATGCCACCACATGCAAGAGTCTACCTAAAGCCGAACTACGCATGCAGAAATGCATTTGGTTAGGTAAGGTTTCCGAAACAGGTGTGAACAAAGAAGGAGTGACGAAAGTACGAAAGTACGCACGGACTTCAAGTACGACCTCGTACTACTGAACAAATTAACCGCAACTCCATGGTCACCGAGACGTAACACCTACGACCCGAAGTTTACGACACTCCTCAAGACTACGGCACTACGACCACCGTCGCAATCTCCACGACCACCTCAACGTGACGCAGGACAACAGACTAACGCCGAAGACGACGTACCACAACCACCACCGAGCAAACACGCGCGAACTACTGCAGGACCAGTATGACCTTCGACGAGACCCACGACAGGATCTTTAAGTTCGCAGCTACCGGACTCACCAATGGCTACATCACCGACCACACGGCGACATCCAGCACTACCAGCACCACCAACAATATCACAACCACTACGACGACTAAATCAAGACGAAGTACTGCAAACAACAAAGGCCCAAAGGACGAAAGAAGGAGCTACTGTCAGGACGACCGAACAAGACACTACAGAACCACAATCACAACGACAACGGATCAACATGATCGCAGCAATCGAACTACACAACGGAACTACAATCCACTCGCACGCTAACGACGACCCCGACGAACAACAACAACCAATCATTTTTGACAACGAAGGATTCGACGAGTCCAAACTACTGGAAGGAATGAAAACAGAAGCAACACAAATGAAACAAACTACACGAAGTCTACGAAGAACCACACTTGACCCCTCTACAATAACGGAAGCAATCCCTACGCGATGGGTACACCGTGAGAAAGGACTACAAGTTTGCTCACGCATCGTTGCAAAAGGCTACAGCGAGAAAGTCGACGACGAGGAGTCCGCGTACGCATCTACACCAATGTTCACAATGCTACGGATACTTCTACTCCTACAACTAGCACGACCAGGATGGATAGCACGGCTAGGAGACGTATCTACAGCATTCCTACACGCACCACTCTCACAGCATAACGAAAAGACAACCTACATTTGGCCACCGAAGGAACTTTGCCCACAACAAAACAAACTGCGGCGACTACGAAAAGCCATGTACGGACTACGCAGTTCACCAAAGGCATGGCAAGACTACTTAGCACAAGTTCTACAAGAACTACGCTTCAAACTAAAGTCCGAACCCAACGTCTACACTTCGCCTACAAGAGACTGCTACATCATGGTGTACGTTGACGATCTACTTGTTCTTGGCAACCCAACTATAGTCAACAAGACCTTTGAGGCGATCCAACAACGAGAACTACTCAAACACCTTGGCTACATTGAACCACAACAACCACAACAATTCCTTGGAAGAACCATCAAACACAACGGTGATCACATCACCCACGCACTGGCCGACTCCTACATCAACATCATTATTGAGGAAGCAAGCCTCAAGAACTGCAACCCTGTGGCCACACCTGGAATAGCACACTACAAGCCCACAGTGGAAGATGAAGCACTACTTGACAAAGAACAACGCAAGAGGTACAGAAGTGCTGTGGAAACTGCAATGGCTAGCCTACACACGACCAGACATTGCTTACTCTACCAAAGAACTTGCAAGAGACCTCACAGCACCTACAGAACTTTCCAACAAACGAGTCAAACACTTACTACGCTACCTTCAAGGGACTAAACACTACAAGTTCATATTACAACCAACCACTACACTCAACTCTGACACCAACAACTGCCTCGACCTTGAGATCTACGTTGATGCCGATTGGGCAGGATGCCCAACTACACGCAAACCAACATCAGGCTTCAACATCAAACTACTCAACACAACTATAGCATTTGGAAGCGAACTCAAGCTACAGTTGCTTTGAGCTCAGCAGAATCAGAGCTCTACGCAATTTGCACAGGAGTGAGTGAAGGACTACACCTGAGATCCTTCCTCCTGGAAACAAACATATGCACTACAATCAACATACGCATTCACACCGACTCTACAGCAGGCAAGAGCATAGCCACACGACAAGGTTCAAGCAAACGAGCAAAACACATCGACGTCAAGTTCCTCTACACACAAGACCTCATCAAGAACAACATCATCAAACTAGCAAAGATCAACACAACTCACAACAGTGCAGACATCTTAACAAAGTACACAACAAAGGACACACTCATACGACTTGTTCAGTCACTGAGCATGAGTGTGTAACTACCAGCAGCAAGAACAACAACGACCGTTTCACAACACGCCATTTTCCCGTTGGCGGCACTTTTCACGCGCGCTTTGATTACACGTTTTGTATCACTTTTTGACTACATGTGCCCCAACTCAAGTGTTTGCAAATGTAACTACATGTGTATCACTTGCACTTTGGCGGCATTCAGGCGGCTCAGGCAACACTACATTTGTTGATTGTCTGGTTGCGCCTACAGCCATTTGTTTGCTCAACTAAGGTGCCCCGTGTTTCACTACACTTGTCCATTTGTGCCTACTACAGCCATGGCCACTGGACCTGCGAGCCTGGATGCTACTATGGGTGTGACTACACCTGACAAGCATCAGCTCCACAGTGCGCAACTACAGACTTTACAACTGGGAGCAGCATGCTTGATCACTACATGCTGGACTACATCATTTGAGTCCCTGAGACTACTGAGGGTTAACTAGGACCCTGTACAGTCACTACATTCTTTGGCCTTTGAGGGTTAGATGAACTACAGCCAGCAGCGTTGTAGTAGACCTACCTTCGCTCACTTTTGCAGAACAAAAACTACGTGTTAGTTCCTTTTGGACTCCCCCTTTTTTCCAACTACGGTTGCACAACACTTCCAGGTTGCACGACCGAGGAGCGTGTTAAACTACAGTGGGTGCATGATACAGTTGCATGTGCACTACACTGGTAATTGATACATACTGCAGGCCTTGAGCCTGACTACAGCTGGAGAAGAAACAAGGGCTGCGGCAGACTACATTTGTTTGTGATAGATAGAAACAAACCAGCATTTGCACTTGTATTTTAACGAGAGAGAGAGAGAGACAGGGGGCGAGCGCGAGCGAGCGAGCGGACGGACGGACGGACGGACGGACGGACGGGCAGACGGACGGACGGACGGAGAGACAGAGAAACAGAGAGACAGAGAGACAGAGAGACAGAGAGACAGAGAGACAGAGAGACAGAGAGACAGAGAGACAGAGAGACAGAGAGACAGAGAGACAGAGAGACAGAGAGACAGAGAGACAGAGAGACAGACAGACAGACAGACAGACAGACAGACAGACAGACAGACAGACAGACAGACAGACAGACAGACAGACAGACAGACAGACAGACAGACAGACAGACAGACAGACGGACAGAGAGGACGGAGAGACAGAAAGGACAGAGAGGACAGAGAGGACAGAGAGGACAGAGAGGACAGAGAGACAGAGAGACAGAGAGACGGATAGACGGAGAGACAGAGAGACAGAGAGACAGAGAGACAGAGAGACAGACAGACAGAGAGACAGAGAGACAGAGAGACAGAGAGGCAGAGAGGGAGAGAGACAGAGAGACAGAGAGGCAGAGAGACAGAGAGGCAAAGAGGCAAAGAGACAGAGAGGCAGAGAGACAGAGAGACAGAAAGACAGAGAGACAAACAGAGAGACAAACAGAGAGACAAAGAGGCAGAAAGACAGAGAGACAAACAGAGAGACAGAGAGACAGAGGGGCATGAATTAGTTCCTTGCTCAAACCAAGCAAGCGAGTGTTGACTGGCATGGCAGCATCTCCATCTTCCTCGGTCCAAAGCGCACCAGATTTTTGCAAGAGCCCATTGGGAATAACAGAAGGTTTTGACAACTGAAACGTTCAACCATTCCGTCCAGGGTTGAGCCAACACGCCTAAGCCATGGTTGAAGCAACCTCTTTTTTGTTGTCCTCATTCTGATCTGCGTCCAGTTCAGGGAAACCCTTCATCGAAAACGAAAGAGGCGGGCTGGGGTCTAAAACGACTGGGTAAACCCGGCTCGTGGGCGCTTCACCGGCGGCTCCAGCTGCAAAACCTGAAGCTGCGAGAGAAAAGCTGCCTGAGAAACCGAAAACCGCTGGAGTGTTAAACTCACGCCATCGTTTGCGTTCGTGCCCCCTTTGTTTTGGGCATCATTGACCATTTCGGCACCTGAGACCTTCAAAAAGGACGCAAGAGCAGCGTGGTGGCACGCTTCTTTTTGTCGCCAGGCTGGACGGGTCTATAGCGCCAGCCTGCACAGGTTTACGGCAAATAATTCGTGCGGCAGGTGTCAAATGCCGACGGAGCGGCTGATTCAAACACATGTCTTGAGAAACTCCAGGCAAACATAGGCAACTTCAAACTTGTTTATAGTTGTGCCCTCGAGCAGGGCGGTTCAGGCCTGTTTTGCAGTCCTGACCCCCCGCTCGCGGCCCGCAAAGTAGCCGGCAATGGGCCGGTCTCTTTACCCCCAACCCTTGCTCGCCTTACTGTGAGGCACAAAGCCGGATCGGCTAGAGATGTGCCCACCTCCAACCTGAGGGTGAACCTGGGTCACTGGTCGAAACTTGCTCGGAGAGCACTCTGGACGGCGAGCAAAGGTACTGGGCTCAATTCAAGGTGCCAATCCAGGCATTACGGCCGGCTGCGATGCTAAGTTGGAGTGAGCGAATGTGGCTTCTGCATTCTGCAGAAGCTAGCAAAATGAGAAAAGCACCGGCGGCGTACGCAAGTGCTCAAGATTCAAACATCCACGACCAGGGTTCGAGCTTCCCAAGGCCCTCTGCAAATTCAGCGCCCCATCCCCATCCGTGTCGAGAGTACTCCTGGCAACAGTTGCAACTCCATCGAACCCCAGCGAAAAACACACAACCTCGGGCCGGACGGCCACCAAACCCCACAAAGGAATTGGACCTGCAGGAGTGTCGACACTTGGAGCGTGTCGATGGCAAGAAAGCCTCCGCATGTGTCCAACCTTTTGCAGGATGCCAAAGCGAAAGCCGGCAGATGCACGGTTCCGGCATACGGCTTTGCCAACTGGTCAGAAGGGAAGCCCGATAAAGGAGCTTCGATTAACTTGGTTCACCAACCGAGCGTCCCATTCCTCCCATTGCCCCGGCGGGTACACAGCAGAGACACTCCGTCCAATTTGCTGTGTCTAAGGCCTTGCCAAGAACAAAGCCTCACGCTTCGAGGCAAAGCAATACCGATTGGAGCCTGACTTGCAATTGTGCAAATCTGGCCCAAAAGCGAAATGTGCCTACTAAGGTTCAACCAATTTGGAACTCTCCGGGGAAAGTCTGCTGGCAAAGAATTCATATGATCTAGAGAAGGTTCACCCAGAATTTCCAAAAAGGCAGACCTAGTCTGACAATATTGTTTCAAATCACATGGCAGCACTGCGATGTGCCATCAATGCCTGCTCGATGCTGGCTTGCAGCGCCTTGGGGTGATTCAGAAGGCAAGCGACAAACTCATGTTTTGCGTAGCCGCAAGACGTGGAATGCGAAGGTGGCAGGCTCTAGAGGTTGGATTTCTTTAAGTCACATGATCTGAGAGTGTGCTTTCCAAGTGGCCTGTTGCTGAACCGCAAGCAGCTCCTTTCCGTCCCTCACATTCGACCTTGGCAACTGGAGAGTCTGAGCGGACATCGCAGTACCCAGCCGCAGATGGGACGATTTCACATTCCAGGTGCTCGGGTCGCTTGCATCGCCGAAATCTCAGCCCTCCAGTTCATTGGCTCGTCCCTTGATCCCTACGCGGTCTGTTGGAACATCTCTGTGGGTTGGGTGGGGTAAGTTGGCTTGGGTAATTGGAGAGGGGTGGGAATTGGGTACTCAAACTAGGCGGGAAGTAAACATTTGATTGTTTTGATGTTGACCCAAAATGGGTCACCGCGTTGTCAAACCCCGAGCGTCACAACGCAAGCGAACGCCCTAACCTGAACGTCGCCTGTTCAACCACCAGACCTGGGAATTTCCACCAAGGGACTCCCCCCATAGTTGTCATGAACTGGCGGTTAGCTTTGGGCTAGGGGACAAAGGCATCCGGCGATGCCATTGGTTCCGATTGCGATCTACAGCTTCTTGGTTCGGGGAGCTTCCCATGTACCCACGAGAACCAGAGGTTGAAGTCCGGGAGACCTGACTTTGAGCGGCAGAAAACAAAGAAATACCCATCAATTATTTGCGGAAACACCCAACACACAAACCCCCGGTCCACCCACCAAGGCGTACGGGCGCGACCTGAGCCGCGGGCAGATCCACGCAGATCAGCAGCAGCAGCTGCGCCGAGTCGCTCAAAGCCACGCGGCACAGCACCGCGGATGCCCACAGCATCTCCCCACTCTTGCGCCGAAGCAGTAGGTCGCTGCAGCCTGCCGCTGAATCCAAGAATCCCAAGCCCGCAGAACGAAAGCTGCTGAGAAAAGAGGGTTCTTTGTCATACCAGTTGAGCCGGCGAAGACGGTTGGCGGAAGCTTCGAACATACAAAAATATTGCTCTATGTATTTTTTCTCTCTCTCTCTCTCTTTCTCTTTCTCCTTCTTCTCTGAGAGAATGCTTCGCTACCTATCTTGGTCCTGCGCACTTTATCTATCGGTCTACCTCTCTATGCATCTATCGACATCTGTCGAGATACATCTATCTGTCTATCTGTCTGTCTGTCGAACTGTCTGTCAATCTGGTTCGTGCCCAGAATAAAGGATTGGGTGAGGAGAAAGAAGGTGCCGTAAAAATAGTTGTTAAAAAAAGAAGGCCTTTCCTTCCTGTCCAGAATCTATTTGTAGGTGACCCTACCATCAGTTCACTCATATCTCTTTATCACTCTACATCTTGGGAATCTTAACCAATAGAAAAGAGAGTGGCCATCTTGTCCATCATACTCTTGTTTGCTATTGGGTATGTGTGGGATAGGATTGGAAAGAGCTAAAATTGTGCACGGTTTATCCTGGAACCTTTGCAAGGTTTATCCCAGATGCAGGAAAAAGCTATCTGTTCCCTTTAGACCTTACCTCAGCCTCGCCTGGAATTGGCAATCAGCTGTTACGACTAGATGAGAGAGGCTGCTACTTGCGATTTCTTTCTTGAACATTTGTTTTGGCCCGAACAACCAGGTGATCCCCATGGTGTTTGGGTGTGCAGGGTCTGTCCGTGGCTCTGCGAAGGAGCATGCACCTTCACTGCCGTCTGCTTCCTCCATCCGATTCTGGAAAGTTGGGTTGCTAGGCTTTTCAACCTCTCCCTTTTGATTGGGAGGCAAGTCAACCCCTTTGAAAGGATGTCCAAAATGTCACTGAGGACCCCTACACCTCCCGGTTTGCTGCTCAAACTCAGTGCTCACGCAAAAAATGGCGGGGACGTGGCCGAAGCGCGGGTCCAAGGAAAACCCATTTCGGGGGCAAAAAACCTCGGCTCAGACCCGGTGTGCCCCCGACCAGCCCAGCCATTCCAATCGGCTGCAAGCTGATTCCTGCCTGTTGCTGCAAGCTGCAGCTCACTTTGAGAGTTCTCCAAGCTGTCGTGGGAAAGAAGTCGTGTGAGCTCCTACGCGTTCTTTTTTTGGGCGAGGCGTGTGTCGAAACCAGATTAGATCCCTTCTTTTGCCTCACGCTCAGGGAGCCAACATGAAGCCCTGGCGGTTGGAGGCGGCAATTCCTGATCCCACCCAACTGCAGCAAGCCGCCAGAAACATTGAGTGCACTGGCCGAAACCCAGGTTGCCTCGCATCTTTGCTGGGCCTCATTTAAGCGGTTTCATTCTGTTTCCCCTTCTGTCTCTTTTCCGTATAAGTTGTGCCGCAAGCTTTCGTCAGGCTTATCCTTTTGCCCCCGCCTTGCTCTGGAGCTCCCCTGTGGAGTAGCCAACCAACTCTTCGAAGTGATCGGAGATCAGGTCGAACCTCAGGTCCTTCACCTCGCGGTGGCTGGCAGACCGAGACCAAAGAAACTCTGCGGAAAGATTTGACTGCGGGTCAAAAATAGGGTGACCCCAAAATGGCACCCTGGTAAATGGAAACAATGACTAAACCCTGTGGTCCACTGGTGGTTCAATTTTGACCCATACCCATTTGGAGAGCAAAACAAAAAGGGTCCGGATTTGTTTTGGGATTTTTCCCCGTTTTGTTGTCCTGGATTTTCTGTCTTGGAACTGGCAGGTGCAATCTCCCTACAAGATTCCCGTTTGTCTTCCTTTGAAATCAAAACCACTGGCTATGTGACACTATGTGATGTCCACTTGCAGGAGGAAGTCAGCGCGCCTGACGTCTCATTCCTGACTCGCGTCTGCCTCTGCTGAGTTCCTCTGCACTAACCATCACCTTCTTTGTGTGATACCGCGATATCTTTCAACTCGCGATAAACTTATCTTTCAGGCCGCGACGACTCACAGTTCCAAGCTTTGGACCCCCGTGGCCACAATATGGGAGGTAACCAATTCCAGGCAAAAGTGTCCAACCATCTGACCTGGACTGTCTCAAACAGCTTTGCAGTCATGCGCAATCCAAATGAGGCAACTGCAGCGAACATGGTGGCCTCCAAATGGGTGCTATGTGTGTGAAGGTGAAAATTAGTGCCCTCCAATCCAAGCAACAAAGCAAACAAGCCTACACTAAACAATCCCAAACCCATCGTCTACTCCCTCTACTGTAACCCCACCTTCGTCAACCATAAACCAATCCTGCACAAAACCTGCCCACAACATATCCACCAACCCCAAACCGACCCAAAAGCAACTCTAAATAGAGCCTTACTTAACCTTGTGCCTGCAAAGCAAGCCGAAACCATCCCTAAACGTCCTCAAATCGACAAACGAACCTCAACCCAGACAACTCTCAACCCACCTGAACGTTCCTGCAAACCAAAGCGCAAGCTGGGGCAATCCTAAACCCGGACTAATCCTAACCCTCAACAAAATCCAAAACTGACCCCAAGACAACAAACCCCGGATCCACACCAAACTCAAACCGCCCCTAAACCTGCAATCGAGCCCCAAGTTGAGAACTCGCCCCCGACCGCCAAAAATAGGCCAAAACTCATGCAAACCAAAGTCAAAAACAGCATCCTGGATATCAGCCCTTGCCAAGCCTAAATGAACAAACCCAAAACCCTCAGTTTACGATCTCAAGCCCAACACCCCGAAACCAACTCTCAACTGCCACCAAAGCCAATGGCCAGCCACGAGCAAGGCCGGCGATTGGGATGCGGCCAGCCAACCAACCAACCAGCCAGCCAGCCATGGCCGGGGCGTAGAGTAAAAAGCAAAACACCGCTCCCACCCAAAAGAACTCCAGAACATGGGCACGCGGCATGCATAAACCTGCCCATCCTTTCCCTTGACGCTATCGTTTTCTCCCCCCTATTGTTTCGCGTTGTTTCTTTCGACTTGGCAAATCAGATTCGCGAACCGCGATTCTTTAGTACAAGCATGGCACGAGAAGTAATTACACTTCTGCAGCTCCAGCTCGAAAGTCGCAACTTTTCAGCACAAGTGTAGTTAACGAAGTACGTTTCCGCAGCTCCAGCTCGAAATCACTTTTTTAGTAAAAGTGCGCTACACGAAGCACACTTCCGCAGCTCCAGCTCAAAAATCACAACTTTCCGCAAACAAACTACAGGTCCGCAGCTCCAGCTTGAAAGTCGCAAACTTCCTTTGCAAGTGTAGCTTAGGCTCTCATTACATGTGTACCAAACGAAGTACGCTGCTGCAGCTCCAGATGCAGATTGGCACGTCTAGTTCCACAAAACGTTGTTGTTTTATTGCCTCCTTGTCGTTTAACACGGGTTTTGGGACACCTCACCACCAAAAGCCCCACCCTGACTAAAACTGCAACTGGCATTGGGGGGGATCTTTTACAACCCCACATAAACGTACCTCATACCATCCTAAACCAACTCTACACCGGCCCTGCGCACACCCACCCAAAACTCACACTGAACAGCCCTAAACAAGTCTCTTTCTGGCAAGGCTGCCCCGGAGGAAAAAAACACACCAAAAGCAAGGGAAGGGCATTCCCGCGCCCGATTCAAATCCGCGTGCCTACCCTCGTTACCAGCTTGACCATGTCAACATGGTGCATCACGCTTAAAGCAGGTATGTGCCAAAAATAGGGGAACCACTATGAGTGAGTTCCCTTTGGATTCCCTTCAGAACACCCCCAAAAGCCGAAAGGGGGTGCGCCACAAAGCACAAACATCGGAGATTGGCCAGCCTCCTCATGCATCCGCTGAATGCGGGCACATGCAGCGATGCCGGATCGGTTCATTGCCTCCTGCACCACGTGGAGGAGTCGTCCTGACAGAAACATGGCTGGGATCCGTTGAGGGGGCGGTCTCAATCAGGAAACACCAAGAAAGAAAGCAGATAAAAACGCGTCACTGTCACTGTACGGTGTCGAGCCTTGATCGGCTTCAAATTCCGTCTCGTCATCTGAGTCACCGTCGTCGAAATTTAGTAGATCACCTCAGAGCTCGCACACCAACTAGATTCGTGGGCTCATCCCATTGATCTCAGAATTTCGTTCTGGGCCGAAGCTGCCGCACTACTACATGCTGCCAGGGCCGCAGTCTCCTAGAAGAGTTTCCCCTGTCTCGACGCGACCGCCTCGAGGCCGAAGGGGAAAGCTTGCAAAGTGCATGTTGTGTGAAAGCCATTGCAACCAAAGCCACCACAAGGGATTTCCGGCCGAAGACGGATTCTTTGCAGACCCGTCTGAGCATTCCGGGAGGGCAGCCCTTGATCCTCCGTCTGCCGGACTCTCAGCCACCCCACGTTGCCCTTTAGACCCACCAAAGCCATTGGCGACATCGAGACGTTTTGAAACCGGAAGCCATTGGCGACATTCCCAGCGCCTGGTACTGCGCACAGCTTGTCCATGGTGGTGCGCCTCGGGAAGCGCGTGGCCCCTGATAGGTGAAGGGTGTGTGCTTTTGATTTTGAGTCTGCCATGTTGCGTGTTGGAAAGGGAAATAAGCTCAGGTGATATCCCCAACAGCACCACGCCCGTACGGGTTCTACATGCGGAAGGTACACGGGTCTTTCTATCCCTTGCCTGCAAACGGATTGGATACGAAGTGTGTGATTCACTTCATGTCGTCTTAATGCCATAACCCTCCTCAGAACCGCCCCGCGCATCCCCATAACCCTCGTGGAACCCTCACGGAACTTTTGCGGAACCCTGTGGAACCTTACCCGGAACCTTCAGGGAACCCTTACGGACCTGACAACCTTACCTCAGAGCCGCCCCGAACCACCAGACTATTTGGGCTGACAGCTGTTGGGGAACCATTGCTTGAACCATACACCTGAACCTCCCAGCCTTTGCTTGAACCTTTCACCTCGCCTGCCAGCACCGCAACCTCAAAACCTTCCTTGAACACACCCCGTGAGCCTTGCCTTACACCAGACCACGGAACCATTGCTTGAACCTTACATCTACCTCTTCCTTGAACCTTACACCTGGGCTGCACCAACCACCCCGGAACCTCTGGAACCTTCCTTCGAACCTTACCTCTAACCTGCACCAGTCCGGAGCCTGCCTTGAACCTTACACAAGACCACCCCGGAACCTCCGGTATCTTGCTTGACCGCCGGACCTCCAGAACCTTCCTTGAACCTTCGCGAACCTGACTCCGGAGCTCCCCCGCCTCTAGCTTTCAGCTGTTTGGGAACTAAAAGGAAACCACCATCTTGGGAGGTCCCTATTTTGCACAGACCCATTTGTCACGGTCAAAACTCCCGAAGTGCGGGTCATAGTGATGATTCCCTTAAGTACAAGGCAGTTCAATGCTTGAAGCAAACATTCAGTGATGCATGATTGGTCTTGAGCCAGTACACGGGTCTTTTGACCATGGCACCAGCGAGAGCCGAAAAAATCCAATGCCTTCTCCCCCAAAATCCTGGTGTGGCTGCGGTCCAGGTGCGCGGGGCCGCGGGGGCTCAATACAGATCCGTACATCAGGTGCAGCATCGCACAAAATGCGGTGCCCTTGAGCCTGTCTGCAGGTAGAGATCACGCATGGCAAGACTCTACACAGGCGCGGCAGTGCGGCAGTTGGGCTCCGTGTGAAGGATTCGGTTGCTCCATTTGAATCGAGAGAAAGTGGGGAGGGAAATGGACTTAGAGGCCCATGCAAGATGATTGGGCTTCATCTTGCAAGACAAACCACCAGCGAAGGTGTGTTTGCCCAGAAAGCCCGTAATCAAACCCTACCGTATCCAGAACTCCAAACCAGGGCGGTCCAACCCTCTTCCTACCATTCTGAAAGTTACCACAGACCTCGAAAAGCGACAGCAGGGTATGACAACCCACAAAAGGAGGGCCCAAAATCACCCCGCATTCCCTCCAAAACCTATGCGGAAAGTGAAAGGGGTTGCATTTCCCCATTTTCCCAAAATGAACCAAAGAAAAAACGCCACTCCCATCCCCCGTGCTGCAAACCGACCCTCGCGCTTGTGGCCTCCATCTCGAGATCTAAGGACTGGAGCAACGCCAAGTCCTGGCGAATGGCCAACGGCCACTCAGTCTGGGGATGGTTCTACGGGCCGTGGATCGGGGAGTCTTGAAGCCGGAAATCACTCGAAAAGGAGATCTTCAACGGAGAAATGCTCGTGTGAAAATGACCAACATGCATTGATTGCCTTCTTGTTGGAACTCGAGTTTTGACAAAACCTAGTTGCAACCCCCCCCCACCTCCCAACGCTGGGCCCTGAAAACAGCCTAAGCTGATGAAAGATGGTGAGTCTGTATCCCAGCCAAAAGCGCGACGCCAAAACCCAACCCAAATGAAAACCAAACGTGAGCACGCCAAAACCCGCCAAACCCCGTCCGCTTTTGGCTCGCTGTTCAGAAGCCCTCAGAAAGCCCACGGCCATCCTCCTCCAAGGAGGTCTCGTACCTCCGCTGCAGCAGCTCCACCAGGCCTCACCGCCATCGAGTCCGACCAGCCGAATCGAGTCGCAGCCGACCTGGCCAGGTCTGAGGAAAGCGAAGGGACCACTTTGCCCCAAGGAAAGCGGGGTAACCCATCTTGGCTGAAAGGGAGAACTAGACAGGGCGAGAGATGGTAAGGGAGCACCATGAGCAGTGGTCAAAGACTGGCACGCGGCTTGTCCAGTGTCGCCAACTGTGAACCAAAATTGTCAGGGGAAGGCTTTTATACGACGGCAGCTTTTCTACGATGGAAGGCCTCAAGCGATGAAACCATAAAACCCCCTAAGGTCCCAAGCCTGACTGGTTTCCTTTTGGCGTCCCATAAACGCTCACATCAACATGGAGGTGCACGGAACAGGCCCCTCTTTGCAAGACGACTGTCCAGAAAGGACGACGTTGCTGCCACGTTGTGCCCGCCCCACGGGGTGCCGTGCACAGGAGGCAGCCGTAGAGATCCGCCAGGCGCTGCTCCGACAGCGCCTCACCTCTTGGGAAGGGGGGCAGGCAACCCAAAGGATCTCGGGGACAAACCTCCGGAAAGAAGTGGGAAGCAGCCCCGGCCCACAAAGCCAAATTGTTTGGAGACACCCATTTGAAGGGTCCAATCGATGCCCATATCTCCAGGAAGCTAAAACTCGCCCTGCGGGAACACGATGCTTAAAGCCTCAAGCCCTCAACCGAAGCTTGGCAAGGAGCATTGGAGCAGATTGTGAATCTGAGAAGAATTCGGATGTCATACAGACTGATTGAGAATAGACTAGGTGTGGCGCAGAAATGAGACGCATCTGGGGACTGTGCAATGAGCCAGCGCTTACACCTCTGGCCAAGATGCCGCAAGAGCCAGCAAAAAAAAACTAACAACCAAACTGCCCACGCTTTCCTCTAGGAACACCAAACCCGGAAGTGGGATTGTGTCCCCTGCTTTACTTGCCGGTCCCCCCTTCGAACCCAAAACGCATCCAAGTTGGGAGTGCGACCCTCTTCGCCGCCCAGGTCGATGGAAGCCTTCCTGCCTGGCGTCGAAGAAGCAACATGGGAAGCACTTTAAAGGATCCAAAATGAAGCATCTCCAGCGGTCCAACCAGCTTTGCCTCACTTGAATGCTTGTTGCAGACATTGATCTCCTTTGAAAACCGTTGCAAACGGGGTCATAGGTTTGACATGACCCCATTTAGTGTTGGGAAAGCTTCTCTATGCTCAGGATAAAGTGTCAGCGAGCACAGAGTCATCTAAGTGGAGAAGAGAATGTGGCCCTCACCGTTTCTTGCCTTGGCCATCATTGCTTTCGACGTGATCCACGTTGTCGATGGTGGCTGGCAATCGAGTCACCACCCGCGCCTGCAGCCCGCTCTTCCTGGTAGGAACCAAACTCTGAGTCGGTCATGCAAATCGCCTCAGTGCACTGGCTCACCTTTCCGAAAACCCACACCAGCAAACAACTCCAAGCAGGAAAAGGCGACGTGAATTGGCCACGTTCCCAAAAACCCAATATCCCATACAAATCTTGTCCAGGTTGCAATAGTATTGCAAGTAGACTGTCAGCAGGGCATTCCCTCTTTTTAGGGCTTCTACCACAGAAATATCGAGTATCTCAATTATCGCAATATGAGAGGAGACCCAACCACACCCAAAAACCACGCCCGGGCCTCCTGAAGACCCTGTGGTTTCAACCCAACCCTGCTTTTCCGCACGCCCTTTTCACCTTTTGATGAATAAGCAGAATCCTCAAACAGGGTTCTTTCGGGTATGTGCCGAAACGAACTTGAAAATGGTACCCTCAAACAACACAAAAAAAAAACATGGAAGGACAGTGTTTTGCGAATCCAGGCGCCAGCAGCATCGTGGCCAGGTCGTCTGGCAGTAGGTCTGCAGGCGACAGGCAGAAGGGGTTCTCGCCGATGCCCAGGTCCTGCGAAGTCTTCTGAGGGGGAAGCCCCATGTTTCTTGGTCTTTCGGTTTCCATTTACCACCCGAACAGGGGTTCCCTAAAAGAAAAACAGACCCATGTGCTGGACTTTTGCTGGCAAATGTGCAAAACCAGCCCACAAAGGTCCCAGCGTTTGCGAAGCCTTGCCCGGGCTCCTGCAGCAGGAACAAGCGAGAGCAGAGCGAAGCTTCCTCGAGCTGCCGGGTGGTTTTAGGCTGGCAACATGTGAGCCATGGCACTGTCAAATGGAACGACTTGATTGAGTCATGAAGCAATCTCCATGGAACAAGGCGCAGCCGCAAATCAATGTGTTTCGCCCAGTGAAGTTGCTAAGGCCACGTCTCTACCTTGCGCCGGAGTCGGTCCGTCGTCATCAGCCGAGTCCTCCTTGAGCGATGCAGGATGCGGTCAGGGTCAGCACCAGCTAGTCAAAAGAAACAACTTGGAAGTGTTTGTGGTGAATCCAAACCACTATTACCCGCTATTGCTATGGCGTTAAGTTTCAAGTGTAGTTCTCCAGCAGCGCTCGTGTGTGTGGGAATGGCGAAGTGGAAGCCGATTTGGTCTTCAGCAGTTCAGCTGGAACGGGGTGGGCTCATTTTTAGCTGCCTCCGCACTTGTCAGGATGTGTGATTTCTGTATCAACCATGGCCTGTGAATCCCAAGCAGAAGCGCTTGTGAGGGTACCCATGTGGGGTGGTAGAAAATTCGAAAGCCTGTCATATGCGTGGTTTTCCTTTTGTTTCCCTTTGAAGCAACCCACAAAGCGCATCTCCGGAAAAAGAGACGCACATGTGAGCCGCAGTCAAAGTGATTTGTTTTCCCAAGAGCGCAAGGGAAACTGTGAGAGCCCCCTGGATCTGTGGCAAACTTAGTGAGTTCCCCCATGTCTCTCCAGATTGGACCACAGAAACCTCATATGGCACCACGGCAACTCCCTCTTCACCCTTCCCAAGCGCCCTCTCGCCTCAGGCTCATCGTCCTGCAAGCCGCTTCACACGCCAGAACATGGGGTGGCAACATGAGCTGAAATTTTCCAGATATCTGAATCCAAAAGCAACATCTGGCTCCTTGGAGTTTGGTCAAATTGTTCGCGGCATGCCCATGCACCAACTTTGGGCATTGGGGCCTTCCTGGTCCATGCGCTGCAGGTACGTCAGGGCAGCATTGACCTGACAAGGAACCCAACTCAGGCTATCCTCAGGTCATTTGTAATGATGGGGTTGGTCCTGATTCTTGTAGGTAGATGGGGCTCCCCCTAACTTCCAAACCACCAATCCAAACAACCAATGAAGGACAAGCTGCCCAACGGTTGTTCATGCATCAATAAAACAAGCCTGGACTCGAACCGCTGTAAAAAGATGTGAGATGCTTGAGCAAGAGATGTGGCCAAGCAATGTAGTAACACTGTTTGAACAACTGGACATCTCCAAGCCAGGGCACCACGTCCGGCGGTGTCACCAAAAGGTCGTCGCAGGGCCGCGACCGGTCCAGGAAGCCGCCGTTGAGCAGCCACTGCGTGTTGCCCTAACAGCATGTCTGACAGCCTGACGTGTGCCTTCTTGACAAGCAAGTCACCTTGATGTCCGGCCACTGTGGAAGGTCATAACAGTTGCCATGAAATGGGTGTGTGTTCCTGCACGCTGACACTCAATTCTCCTTGTCTCTACCAAGGGCTGACCGCCAACCCACACATTAATCGAGGGCATGCTACATCCTTGGCAAGCCTGCAGGCCGTAGCAGTTCATGATCTCCTCTCCTGGGCTTGTCTGCTGGTTTTTTCCTTGTTTTTTGCCAAAAAGCTGCTAAGCTGTTTTGCCACTTGGGGTGTGCTCAATGTGCAACCTCAAACCTGGGACCCAATCTCATCTCACCATACTTTGACTGAAGGGCCAGGATGCTCGGATTCTCCAAGCGTTGACCCACGCGAGTCACACCCAAACGGCGAATTCTGGATGTTCCAGGTCTAAATCCAAACCAAGTTTCCCGGGTTGATCTCCCTCTCCGCGTGGAACACAAGGTGCTCCCCGCCTTATGCGAATGCTCTTCTCATCCCAAGTGGACCATGGATATGTTGACCAAACCGTATATGCGGACGAGATGAAGCATCTTTATGCACAAGGCTGCCTGTTACACAGGCGCCATTGGACAATGGCCGCCGGCACGCCAGCGTGACAAATCATTCCGACTGCGCCTTTTAAAGGAGGCCGGGAGAACATTTACATGAGATACTTGCCTGAATCTAGGCAACAAATACGCAATATTATTATGCGTCTATCTGTGAGACTTGCTCTTCCGAAGTGGCAGCTCATATATCTGTGCAGATTGCAATACCTCATCACCTCTCCTCGCCTATGACCCCATCAGAATGCTCAACACCGCCCCCAAAACGTCGTCCAGCGCGGCAGCCGCTGTCATGGTGACCTGGTTGATCGCCAGGAAGGTACCCAAACGCTGCAACATCAAACTCCGAAGGTTCTCATTGAAAACATGCACGTCTTCAATCTTGCTCAGGACCAAATCCTTGTCAGAAGGAAAAGAAGCCTGAGCTTCCCTCACGTCCAAGTGAAGCAGATGCTCCACGCACTTTTCCAACGACGATGCGGAATGGGTCTTCACAGCCTGATGCAAATGCAGCCTGTCGGCTTCTACTAGCTCGGCAACACACCAGACTCTGGTGAGCAAGCTGAAGTCGATCTCCATTGCCACCACCTGCTCCAAGCGCACCTGCGATTTCTGCCGATGGTGCTGCTTCAAGAACGCCATCATGTCGTCAAACTTGTTCATCTCACTCAAATCTCCCTCAAAATGCTTCGCAGTTGAACAACTGCACGCGGTGATTTCATGGCCCATGGAGTCACAGGGCGGCGCCCGGGCGCAAATTCCTGCGTGCTGATTGACGGAGAACGCACACACCCAGTATGGCGCATCCAGTGTGTTCTTTTGCTGCAACCTGGCGGACACTCCTTCGAAGTCCCTGGACATCAACAACTGCTCCAGGATGTCATAAGTCTCCTCTTCGAGAGCATCCGCGAAAATTGCGCTGATCAAATGGCAGAACTTGTTACCCCAGCTGTGAGTGACCATCTTCTGCGCCAAACACGGCCTTCCACCATTGATGCTCGTTGCGTACGCAAATCCCTTGGATCTGCCTTCATCCTGGGCATCCTTTTCAATCAAGGGGTGGCAAATGGAAATTGCAACTGTCACAGGTTGAGGCTTGGCGTTCTCCTCCATATTCTCTGAATCTTCTTTCAAAAGCTTGGCATCGCTGGATTCCATGATAGCAGATGCTTCTTCAAGTGAGTCACATGGAACGATCGAGGCCACCAAAGCACCTGCACCAAGACGGACTTCTATTTCCGTCGAGCCGTGCCAGAATTCACAGCTGGGCAGGATGGAGAACAGCTCTACTTCTTCTTGTCCTGCCTTGTTCTGCACAAGGCCTCGCACTGCAATGTACATGCCTTCCTCTGGCAAGACATCTTGCAAAAGGACTGTCTCATCCCAGCTGACTGAACTTGAGCCCCCTTTCCAAGGCTTGAGCATTGGCTCCGAATCACCACGGCAGACACGAAGCAGGCAACCGGGATCAGAGCATTCAAGGCCAACAGCCCGATGCACCTGGACGGCAAAAGTGCGAGCTTCGCGCAGCTGCGTGGAGGTTGGAATAATGGCGTGTCGCACAACATCGTGCGTCGTTGAACAGTTCGGATCCTCCGATGCGCAAAAAGCAACTGAGCAACATATCACTTTTGGGAGTCACATGATGCAGAATTGAAAATTTGAAAGGTCAAAGGTCTGCTTTAGTCATCCAAGGATCGAAGTGTGGCATCATACGAGGCTGGCACACTAAATCTGCATAGAAATCAAGCAACTGTCTGAGTGTAAGACCCCGCCCTGCTAGGTCCCGAACTTTCTCGTTCCAAATCGACGACTTGTCTGCTTCATCTTGCATCTTAGATTGAGATCCACCAAACTGAGCAAGATCATCGACATTCAAGCCAAATTTCCTGGATGTCAAGCAGGCCCCATTCAACATGCAAAGCACCTCTACTTGGTTTCGAACAAACAACCAAGGACCCAAGGAAAAGGTTACCTTGAATTTGCGACGAGCTTCTTTGGAGGTGAGAAAATCACCTGTCGGCGCTTCGACACACCGCTAACCTCCGAAACGACGCCAGAGATGATGCATGCCACTGATGGCACCAAAAGAAGCTTGCGAACCACCACCAAAGTTAGGGAAAACAGCCATTTCCACTCGTCTGCTGGGTCAAGATTTGCTAGGAAGGCCATGATGATGAGCATGTGTAGGACGGTGAGGCAAGCACCCAGAGTCCAGAATCTGAGATGTTTGAAGTGGTGAATGCGCAGTTTCCAATACCGATCAGCAGGACTCTCCGTCACATGCACAAAGCGGCTAAAAGCGAGGCATTGAAACAGGCTGCGTGGGATGAAGTTCAAAGCGATGCTGAAGGATGCTACGAAAATAAGCCAAAGGAAAGAAGTCTGCTCGATGGGGCAGTCTTCGGGGCTTCTGGCAGCAACTGCACTGCCATCCACAGAGAAGAACAAGGCGACAAAAGCAAGCGAGCCAAGGGTGCAGTCCATGAAAATCTTGGCACGTTGGGCTGCAGTGACGTGCAGGTCAAATTGCAAAATCTCAAACAAGGGATGTGTAGTAACAAAGGTCGAGAACCAGCAGCGCAAGCGAGATCTGTGAACCCTTACGTATGCAGAGGGCAAATTATCCTTCACACGCAGAGCCACTGCCTTGAGGAAAGCAGACTTGTGTATAGCTAGACTACCTTGGACCCAGCCTTCAGCACCCCATATGTGCTGCTCAATCAAGTTCGTGTGGAGTCTGTGTTGTAAAGACACTTCGCGCAACGTGTTTTGGCAAAGAATACTTTCCTGCATCTTGCTGAAAGGCTGCGCTTTCTTCAATTCTTGCATGGCTGCCAGCATGTCAGGAGATGGACGTTGGCTCTTGTTCCTTCTTGTGGTACAATCACCCCTGCACCGGCAACAGCTACCCTGAGGAAAACCCGGCGTCTCAGTGAGAAAAAACTCGGCTTGCCACAGTGCTGATCTGGAAGCGTCCAGCAGAACGCCAGCAGCCAGCAAGAGTAATAAGACCGCAACCAGCGACCACAGGCACAATGAAGGAGGTCGTGTCCACCAATCAGGTCGCTCGATGATCTCTCGCAAGTTCTCCGGTGACAGCACATTGATGTTGGTACAATCGAGGAGCACATCCACAAAAATTGCAAAAATGGACAGGTGAAATGTAGCACACCAAGCGCCTGAGGTGTCAACAACTCCACTGAACTGCTCAAGCTCCTCTGGCGTTGCCCAACGTACCCCCTCCGTTGACCAAGTTCCATCTTCCAACTGATAGGCGCAAAGCAAAGACGACTCGAGATTTGCCGTTGACAACTTCAATAAGATCGGCTTGGCGGACGTTACATCGCCCACAGACAGGTCGGAGCCAAACAAGGAAACGTCGACAGCGTCTGTTGCAAAGGACCAGGGATTGCCAGCGCTTGACATTGCCGGCGCTCCTCTCCCCATGAGAGCCTTGCTTGCCTCTCCGTTGAAGGTTGTGATCACCATAGCGCCATAGCTACCATTTTGCAGGGTCTCCGTGGGAATGAACACAGCCGATATGCTGTTGTCAAAAGCGTGACGGGCCATCACAAAGCCAGCTTCTGATGGTTGATCCGTCAGTTTCACCGCTGTCATTCTGCCAAGTGGAGTCAAGGCTGTTGTGACATTATCTGAGCTGAGCTGCGTTATCAAAGACTTGGCATTCGCCTCGAGGACTTCGGCAACAGAAATGCCTCCAGATCCCGCAACTGTTGTTCGGCCCATGGTAGTACTGGAGCTCGAAGTAGTGCTAGAACTTGAGCTGAAAGTGGAGAGCGAGGTTGTTGTACGGGAGCTTGAACTGGCTATGCTGGAGGAGCTGGTTGTGCTAGAGCCTATCATCGGTGTAGTGCTGAAACTTGACGTGCTCGTGATGGAAATGGACGAGGTAGAGCTGGAGCTGGTCACGCTAGAGCTTGTCGTCGGAGAAGCGCTGAAGCTTGACGTGGTTGTGATGGAAACGGACGAGGTAGAGCTGGAGCCGGTCACGCTAGAGCTTGTCGTCGGAGTAGCGCTGAAGCTTGTCGTGGTCGCGACGGAAATGGACAAACTGGTCACGCTAGAGCTTGACGTGGTCGTGATGGAAATGGACGAGGTGGAGCTGGAGCTGGAAACGCTAGAGCTTGTGCTGAAGCTTGACGTGGTCATGATGGACATGGACGAGGTAGAGCTGGAACTGGTCACGCTGGAGCTTGTGCTGGAAATGGACGATGTAGAGCTGAAGCTTGATGTGGTCGTCGCCGTGTAGCTCGACGTAGAGCTGGAGCTTGAGCTGGTCGCAGTAGAGATTGACGTTGTAATGCTGGAGCTTGATGTGATTGTGCTGGAACTTGACGTTGCAGTGCGGGTGCGTGAAGTGGTAGTGGTAGTGCTGAAAGTTGACGTGGTAGTGCTGGAAGTTGACGTGGTAGTGCTGGAAGTTGATGCGGTAGTGCTGGAAGTTGATGCGTTGGTTGTGGTTCCCTGCAGCTCCAAATACCACAGGTCTGAAAGCTCCGCCGTATCCTGTCCTCCAAAGAGCCACATGCGATTCTGCGAGTCACGGACAAAATGGCTTCTCCGCCTGATGGGGGGGGAGGTGTCGGCGGTTGCCTCGGTCCAAACCTCCCCCCCAGGGCCTAGGTACTGCAGGTCGCTGCGCATGACGTTGCCATTAGAGTCTGCAGAACCACTCCAGACCCACATAATCTCAGGTGATCCTGCGACAGCTGCATGTTCTTCCCTGGCAGCAGGATTGTTGGCGACCACTTCCGTCCAAGTTTCCGACGCCGTGTCCAGCACAAACATGGTGTTTAGCGTGCCTTCAAAATTGCCACCAAAGATCCACATGCGGTCGCTTGAGTCCATGACAGCACTGTGCTTGGACCTTCGACTGGGAAGGTTGCCACTTGCGGTGACCTGGACCCAATTCTGGGTTGGTGTGTCCAAGTAGTACAACTCATCCACCTTTTGGCCATAGATACGCGCACCACCAAAGACCCACATGCGGTCGCTCGAGTCCATGGCCGCACTGTGCTTCTTCCTACCTGTTGGCACAGAGCCTGTTGCATTGACCTCAGCCCAAGCTTCGGTCGCCGCGTTCAAGGTGAACACGTTGTTGTAGCCCTCGTTAGAACCGCCACCGCCAAAGATCCACATGACGTCGTTGGAGTCCAGAACGGCAGTATGGAAGTGGCGGGCAGGGGGCACAGAGCCAGTGACGGAGACTTGGGTCCAGCTTTGCGTCGCCGTGTCCAAGCGCCACACCTCGTCAGAAGCAGCGCCGTTCACCTCTCCCCCGTAAATCCACATGCGGTCACTGGAGTCCATCGCGAAAGCTCCGGAATGCCGCGCGGACGGTGCGGAACCGCTGATGCTGACTTGGTTCCAACCGGCCGCCACGCCCAGCAAACCACCAAACCATAGCTGCCACGCGCGATATGCCATTGCTCACAGTTGCCATTCGCTGTTATCAAGTTGGGCTTTGTCTGCAATGATGGTGCAATCAAGCTGTATCATGGAGCGATTGGGTTGTGTTCCTGGCTTTGGGAGGACATTTGGGTGGGGCAGTGGCGCCCCCTTCGCGCCCTCCCCAAACAAGAACCAACTTTGGGCCAATGGTTTTGTCAGTTGCCATTGCTCATTAAACTATGAATTTCAATGGTTGAACACCACAATGGTTGGTATCCATCAATCTCCGTGCACCTCTTCTCCAAAACTTGTTGGAACCTGCGGATGGGAAAGCGAAGCCTGATGCTTGTGGTGCTTGCGAGATGTGCAGCCCCATGTCCCGAACCCAGGCGATTGCCAATTGCCAATAGCCTCCTTCCGAGACGCAATCTCTCATCCGCGTGTGGGGCGCAGCACCGGAGTGGTTCAAAGCCTCATCTGTCTCAGGAATCCAGTTTCTCACATTGCCCCGAAGCTGTCGAAAGGAGGTTGCAACCATCTCACGCGCGAAGCTTTGCTCACAAAAATCACCCCTTTCAACGCCACCAAAAACCCAGCCAACGTCACCCGCGAATCCCCAACAAACATGCTGCACTTCTTGCAGGGCGGCTGAAACCTGTTTGCACGGCCCGGTTGCCATCTTTAAAGTCAAGTTCCAAGGACATTACGCAATGAGCATGTAAAAACCGCCTGCCAAGGTGGAAATTCCTGTAAATGTGCCTTTTTCAGCCCCGTGTTTTTTTCTTCAAAAAAAAAAAACACGACACAAGGCCATGCGCCAAGAAACAAGGCTCCAAATGTGACCCAAAAAACATCACCCCACCAGGGGAACTCAATCAACATTAACACAATGGTAATCTTTGAACCACCCAAGGAGCACATGTGCGCACTGGTCAACATGACCCACGCTCATGGGAGAGCCACTTGTTTTGCTATGATGGATGAGGACTCTTGGTGGGAACGAGCAACCAAGGACCCCAAAGGAAGACTTGTGAAATCCTTCTGGTGTGGCATACCGTTGTAAAGTCTTCAAAGGTTGGACACCTTCTTCTACGAACAAATATATACCAATTCCAACCTGTTTTTTAAAGTGTCCCTTGCTTGGGTTCCACGAATCAACAACCGATTTGTTTCAACACTGTTAAACAACTGGTAAGTAGCCAACGTACAATCTGAACAGGCCGACTCCTGTTGACATCGTTTAGGGACTCCTGTGCACGAACCACTTTTGAGGTAGGTCTATTAAAACTCGCAAGTTCTGTGTGTGTGTGTGTTAAAGTAGGAGGAGCCCTAAAATAGCGGCCTTCGTTCTGGCTTCTTTTTAAACCAACTACAAGACATGTCCCCTTGGTAACATATATATATATATGTATATACATATGTATAAAAACCTTTATAACCACGTCGGTAGAGTTGTGCCCAAAAAAAAAGAGGTAGACACAGCCCAAATCAGGAAGAGAAGGGGACCTTCCCAGCGGTGGTGGTGTTCATACAAAGCTGAGGGTTTTCGGTGTTGGAGTGTGACGCAAGGTCCCTTTCTGATCAAGAAACGCTCAAACAAGCGATCAAACCGCAAGTCTCGAAACTGTTTTTTTCCCAAAGGAGAAGCACTCAAACAACAAGATTCCAGAAAAAAAAAGAAAGCTCCTCAGTGTCCCCCCCCCGACCAAAGCTCAGAAACCGCGAGACGCCCCGCGGCCCGAAACTTCCCCGGGCGCCGCCGCGTCCGCGAAGGGCGCCAGCACCACCCCGGCGCCGCTGGAGTCGAAGGCGCGGGAGGCCACCACCGAGGCGGCCCACCGCAGCCTGGGCCGTGGGGCCAGCCCCGTGGGACCGCTTCCCTGGGTTGGAGGCCGCCCTTATATATATATATATATATATATGTATGTGTTTGTTTTGTATGTTGTTGTTGTTGTTTCTTTTCTTTTAAAGAGAAAAACATGTACAGAGGTTTTGGGGGTGTGAAGGGAGGTTTGCAGCGGTCAGAAAAACAGAGGGGAAAAAACAGAAGTTGGTGTTGTCCCAGTTTGCTGAAGGTCCCTGGAGAAAATGAGAAATGTCCAGTGATAGATAACCTGTCAAACAGGGAAAATAGCAGATAGTCTTAAGCAAGATGTCCTTCTAGCCATCAAACAGCGTCCGTTTTGAGAAACCGCATTTCTCATTGAAACGTCACAAGAAGACTCAATTTCAAAGGCGGATGTTTCAAACCACCGAACGGCATAGCAGGTCTGATTTGCGAGAGGTTTACCAAAAAGGGTTCACACTGGATGGCGACCGTGGTCACTTCCAAGCATTCTGACAGGCAAGATGCCTCGACCATCTGCGCTGGCTTTGGGCTTGCTCCCATCCAATTCTTGCCTTCTTGCGCTGCTGGTGCGTGGCTGCCCCAGTTGTGGTCACTTCTTCGTTCTTTGCTCAAATCAACCAAGTTCCAACCCGGGTGCTTTCGCCATGAGGCAACCAACCCTTGTGGTGAAATCACCCCCCCCCCCCGCCGTTGTCCCACTCAAAAAATGATAATCGACCTGAAGTCCAAGCTCCAATGCAGCACTTCGGCTTCTGTTTTTTGCCTTAGCTCCCGGCTGCTCCAGCGAAGGCGGGCAGCTGAAGACGCGACACTGCTGCATGGCATGGAGGTCCTGGAAAGCTGGGCCCCACTTGGCGAAAACTTGCGCCTTGGTCACCTGGCTGTGGGTCAAAAAAAAATGGTAACCCCAAAATGGAACCCTGGTAACATGGACTAAAGCCTGCGGTCCCCTCGTGGTTTAATTTTGACCCATACCCACCTGGTGAAAGTGCAGAATTAATTCCCTGAAGTCCAATTGCTGGTGTCTGCATGTCTGTGTTATGCATGCTCATCCGCCAGCCAGGCTTGGTTCAAGAGACTCTAAACAGCTCCAAAAACAACACGTATTTGCTTGAGCAGTCGAGTAACTTGTTTTCCTTCTCACAGTTGCCAAGCACATCGCTTTGCATTTGTCCACCTTTTCCTGGAGCATCACGGATGCCAAGTCTGCCTGCATTCTGACACTCGGCCTTCCTCACAACAGGAAGTGTCTTTTCTAGACTTGGACACCCGAGAAATCCTTGTCGCTGGCGATGTGGCCGCCCTCCAGCAGGGCATCCACAGAGGTGCCCTTGAGAAAGCGCCTCTCCTGCACAATTGCCGCCTATTGCCGCCTATTGCCCCTAGAACCCTAGAACTTCGGTCTTTCGACAGGCCAGTTTGATCGGACTTCAGGGAAGGCAAGCCTGCCCCTTCGGCCAAAAAAACAAACGAACGCACACACGTATACATACACATATATACTATACAAAGCGAGAGAGAGAGAGAGAGAGAGAGAGAGAGAGAGAGACCTGCTAGGCTGAAGCACTTCACGGGATTTGCTCCAAGGCAGGGACCTCCTCGGAATACCAGAGCGGCAGGGTAGGGAAGGCACGCGGCAAGGTGCCTCAAAAGAACTTACAAGTCCTCTGCGTGCTCTTCCGGTGCAAGAAAACATCGAAAGCGCTAAGAGCACGTCGGATGTAGGGGAACCAGCCTAAGGCGATGGCCATGGCAATGCAAGAAGTATGCAGTGCCGGCAAAAGGCATTTCTGGATACTGGAGATACACATCTCCCTCCCGCGTCGCTCACCGCCTGAACCATACAAACGGAGACAAGAAGCTGGAGTTCGCGCCAGAAACCAGCACCTGGGCCAGGGCAAAGGTCCGCTTCGATCCTCCAGTCAATCCCCCCAAATAGTGCTCCAAAGACTTTGGCGTACTTTTGTCTCTAGCCACACAGCGCCATGCCAACATGAGTCATGGGCTTCAATCTGAGGCCGCAGTCTCTAAAGCAGTCCTTATGCTGCGAAACTGAATATGAAGGACTTCGCCCTTTGCAATATTAGCTATTTGCAACTATTTGCCTCATCGCAAGTGCCTCCTAGAAGAATGCACAACGGTGGTGCCAGACCCCACGCCTCCCTTTATGCCAGGAGGGTTGTGCTTCACAACGGTGGTGCCAGATCCCCTGCCTCCCTTCACGCCAGGGGGGTTGTGGTGCACGTAGGCTCCTCCCAGATCTCCTACGTCTGGTCCCCTGCGCCGACCATCCCTGCGTCGGCCGTCCCGGCGGCGCCCGTCTCCGTTCTTAGCCTCCGCCTCCTCCTCGTACTCGTCCTCGTCCTCAGCCGCCTCTCCCGTCTCAAGGCTCTTCACTTGCAGCAGTTCGACGGAAGCATCTGGGCCTTCCTGCTGCAGGGCGGTGTTCAGATCCGCCTCACAGCCGCCCGCCTCACAGCTGTCGGTGCTGAAAGCACCCCACAGCTGGCTTAGGACCGCCACCAGAAGCGCACTGCGCATGGCACCAGCGAAAGTGGACGGAAGTGCAAAGCCCGGACAAATGATTGCCCAGCGCTGACCGCTTTTGGGTGAGCTAGATTGCTTGAAAAACAACGCATTTCGGCAAGTGTGCACAATCAAATATGAGCCAACAAACATGACCAAGGGAAAGACCACGCAACAAGACTGCACGTGTTTGACAACGCTTCAAGTCTTGAATGTCTTTTGCATGCACCATTGCTCCGACATCCCACCAAAAGTGCGGCAAAGACTTTGGCGTACTTGTGTCTCTAGCCACACAGCGCCATGCCAACATGAGTCATAGGCTTCAATCTGAGGCCGCAGTCTCTAAAGCAGTCCTTATGCTGCGAAACTGGATATGAAGGACTTCGCCCTTTGCAATATTAGCTGTTTGCAACTATTTGCCTCATCGCAAGTGCCTCCTAGAAGAATGCACAACGGTGGTGCCAGACCCCACGCCTCCCTTTATGCCAGGAGGGTTGTGCTTCACAACGGTGGTGCCAGATCCCCTGCCTCCCTTCACGCCAGGGGGGTTGTGGTGCACGTAGGCTCCTCCCAGATCTCCTACGTCTGGTCCCCTGCGCCGACCATCCCTGCGTCGGCCGTCCCGGCGGCGCCCGTCTCCGTTCTTAGCCTCCGCCTCCTCCTCGTACTCGTCCTCGTCCTCAGCCGCCTCTCCCGTCTCAAGGCTCTTCACTTGCAGCAGTTCGACGGAAGCATCTGGGCCTTCCTGCTGCAGGGCGGTGTTCAGATCCGCCTCACAGCCGCCCGCCTCACAGCTGTCGGTGCTGAAAGCACCCCACAGCTGGCTTAGGACCGCCACCAGAAGCGCACTGCGCATGGCACCAGCGAAAGTGGACGGAAGTGCAAAGCCCGGACAAATGATTGCCCAGCGCTGACCGCTTTTGGGTGAGCTAGATTGCTTGAAAAACAACGCATTTCGGCAAGTGTGCACAATCAAATATGAGCCAACAAACATGACCAAGGGAAAGACCACGCAACAAGACTGCACGTGTTTGACAACGCTTAAAGTCTTGAATGTCTTTTGCATGCACCATTGCTCCGACATCCCACCAAAAGTGCGGCAAAGACTTTGGCGTACTTTGTCTCTAGCCACACAGCGCCATGCCAACATGAGTCATAGGCTTCAATCTGAGGCCGCAGTCTCTAAAGCAGTCCTTATGCTGCGAAACTGGATATGAAGGACTTCGCCCTTTGCAATATTAGCTGTTTGCAACTATTTGCCTCATCGCAAGTGCCTCCTAGAAGAATGCACAACGGTGGTGCCAGACCCCACGCCTCCCTTTATGCCAGGAGGGTTGTGCTTCACAACGGTGGTGCCAGATCCCCTGCCTCCCTTCACGCCAGGGGGGTTGTGGTGCACGTAGGCTCCTCCCAGATCTCCTACGTCTGGTCCCCTGCGCCGACCATCCCTGCGTCGGCCGTCCCGGCGGCGCCCGTCTCCGTTCTTAGCCTCCGCCTCCTCCTCGTACTCGTCCTCGTCCTCAGCCGCCTCTCCCGTCTCAAGGCTCTTCACTTGCAGCAGTTCGACGGAAGCATCTGGGCCTTCCTGCTGCAGGGCGGTGTTCAGATCCGCCTCACAGCCGCCCGCCTCACAGCTGTCGGTGCTGAAAGCACCCCACAGCTGGCTTAGGACCGCCACCAGAAGCGCACTGCGCATGGCACCAGCGAAAGTGGACGGAAGTGCAAAGCCCGGACAAATGATTGCCCAGCGCTGAAAGCTTTTGGGTGAGCTAGATTGCTTGAAAAACAACGCATTTCGGCAAGTGTGCACAATCAAATATGAGCCAACAAACATGACCAAGGGAAAGACCACGCAACAAGACTGCACGTGTTTGACAACGCTTAAAGTCTTGAATGTCTTTTGCATGCACCATTGCTCCGACATCCCACCAAAAGTGCGGCAAAGACTTTGGCGTACTTTTGTCTCTAGCCACACAGCGCCATGCCAACATGAGTCATAGGCTTCAATCTGAGGCCGCAGTCTCTAAAGCAGTCCTTATGATGCGAAACTGGATATGAAGGACTTCGCCCTTTGCAATATTACCTATTTGCAACTATTTGCCTCATCGCAAGTGCCTCCTGGAAGAATGCACAACGGTGGTGCCAGACCCCACGCCTCCCTTTATGCCAGGAGGGTTGTGCTTCACAACGGTGGTGCCAGATCCCCTGCCTCCCTTCACGCCAGGGGGGTTGTGGTGCACGTAGGCTCCTCCCAGATCTCCTACGTCTGGTCCCCTGCGCCGACCATCCCTGCGTCGGCCGTCCCGGCGGCGCCCGTCTCCGTTCTTAGCCTCCGCCTCCTCCTCGTACTCGTCCTCGTCCTCAGCCGCCTCTCCCGTCTCAAGGCTCTTCACTTGCAGCAGTTCGACGGAAGCATCTGGGCCTTCCTGCTGCAGGGCGGTGTTCAGATCCGCCTCACAGCCGCCCGCCTCACAGCTGTCGGTGCTGAAAGCACCCCACAGCTGGCTTAGGACCGCCACCAGAAGCGCACTGCGCATGGCACCAGCGAAAGTGGACGGAAGTGCAAAGCCCGGACAAATGATTGCCCAGCGCTGACCGCTTTTGGGTGAGCTAGATTGCTTGAAAAACAACGCATTTCGGCAAGTGTGCACAATCAAATATGAGCCAACAAACATGACCAAGGGAAAGACCACGCAACAAGACTGCACGTGTTTGACAACGCTTAAAGTGGGAAAGACTCTGCCATACTTTTGTCTCTAGCCACACAGCGCCATGCCAACATGAGTCATAGGCTTCAATCTGAGGCCGCAGTCTCTAAAGCAGTCCTTTTGCTGCGAAAATGGATATGAAGGACTTCGCCTTTTGCAATATTAGCTATTTGCAACTATTTGCCTCATCGCCAGTGCCTCCTAGAAGAATGCACAACGGTGGTGCCAGACCGCACGCCTCCCTTTATGCCAGGAGGGTATTAGCTATTTGCAACTATTTGCCTCATCGCAAGTGCCTCCTAGAAGAATGCACAACTGTGGTGCCAGACCCCACGCCTCCCTTTATGCCAGGAGGGTTGTGCTTCACAACGGTGGTGCCAGATCCCCTGCCTCCCTTCACGCCAGGGGGGTTGTGGTGCACGTAGGCTCCTCCCAGATCTCCTACGTCTGGTCCCCTGCGCCGACCATCCCTGCGTCGGCCGTCCCGGCGGCGCCCGTCTCCGTTCTTAGCCTCCGCCTCCTCCTCGTACTCGTCCTCGTTCTCAGCCGCCTCTCCCGTCTCAAGGCTCTTCACTTGCAGCAGTTCGACGGAAGCATCTGGGCCTTCCTGCTGCAGGGCGGTGTTCAGATCCGCCTCACAGCCGCCCGCCTCACAGCTGTCGGTGCTGAAAGCACCCCACAGCTGGCTTAGGACCGCCACCAGAAGCGCACTGCGCATGGCACCAGCGAAAGTGGATGGAAGTGCAAAGCCCGGACAAATGATTGCCCAGCGCTGACCGCTTTTGGGTGAGCTAGATTGCTTGAAAAACAACGCATTTCGGCAAGTGTGCACAATCAAATATGAGCCAACAAACATGACCAAGGGAAAGACCACGCAACAAGACTGCACGTGTTTGACAACGCTTAAAGTCTTGAATGTCTTTTGCATGCACCATTGCTCCGACATCCCACCAAAAGTGCGGCAAAGACTCTGCCATATCTTTGTCTCTAGCCACACAGCGCCATGCCAACATAAGTCATAGGCTTCAATCTGAGGCCGCAGTCTCTAAAGCAGTCCTTATGCTGCGAAACTGGATATGAAGGACTTCGCCCTTTGCAATAATAGCTATTTGCAACTATTTGCCTCATCGCAAGTGCCTCCTAGAAGAATGCACAACGGTGGTGCCAGACCCCACGCCTCCCTTTATGCCAGGAGGGTTGTGCTTCACAACGGTGGTGCCAGATCCCCTGCCTCCCTTCACGCCAGGGGGGTTGTGGTGCACGTAGGCTCCTCCCAGATCTCCTACGTCTGGTCCCCTGCGCCGACCATCCCTGCGTCGGCCGTCCCGGCGGCGCCCGTCTCCGTTCTTAGCCTCCGCCTCCTCCTCGTACTCGTCCTCGTCCTCAGCCGCCTCTCCCGTCTCAAGGTGCAGCAGTTCAGCACTCTCCCGTCTCAAGGCTCTTCACTTGCAGCAGTTAGCTATTTGCAACTATTTGCCTCATCGCAAGTGCCTCCTAGAAGAATGCACAACTGCCAGACCCCACGCCTCCCTTTATGCCAGGAGGGTTGTGCTTCACAACGGTGGTGCCAGATCCCCTGCCTCCCTTCACGCCAGGGGGGTTGTGGTGCACGTAGGCTCCTCCCAGATCGTCGCCTCACAGCCGCCCGCCTCACAGCTGTCGGTGCTGAAAGCACCCCACAGCTGGCTTAGGACCGCCACCAAAAGCGCACTGCGCATGGCACCAGCGAAAGTGGACGGAAGTGCAAAGCCCGGACAAATGATTGCCCAGCGCTGACCGCTTTTGGGTGAGCTAGATTGCTTGAAAAACAACGCATTTCGGCAAGTGTGCACAATCAAATATGAGCCAACAAGCATGACCAAGGGAAAGACCACGCAACAAGACTGCACGTGTTTGACAACGCTTAAAGTGGGAAAGACTCTGCCATACTTTTGTCTCTAGCCACACAGCGCCATGCCAACATGAGTCATAGGCTTCAATCTGAGGCCGCAGTCTCTAAAGCAGTCCTTTTGCTGCGAAAATGGATATGAAGGACTTCGCCTTTTGCAATATTAGCTATTTGCAACTATTTGCCTCATCGCCAGTGCCTCCTAGAAGAATGCACAACGGTGGTGCCAGACCCCGCGCCTCCCTTTATGCCAGGAGGGTATTAGCTATTTGCAACTATTTGCCTCATCGCAAGTGCCTCCTGCACAACGGTGGTGCCAGACCCCACGCCTCCCTTTATGCCAGGAGGGTTGTGCTTCACAACGGTGGTGCCAGCACCCCACAGCTGGCTTAGGACCGCCACCAGAAGCGCACTGCGCATGCCGGAAGTGCAAAGCCCGGACAAATGATTGCCCAGCGCTGACCGCTTTTGGGTGAGCTAGATTGCTTGAAAAACAACGCATTTCGGCAAGTGTGCACAATCAAATATGAGCCAACAAACATGACCAAGGGAAAGACCACGCAACGAGACTGCACGTGTTTGACAACGCTTAAAGTCTTGAATGTCTTTTGCATGCACCATTGCTCCGACATCCCACCAAAAGTGCGGCAAAGACTCTGCCATATTTTTGTCTCTAGCCACACAGCGCCATGCCAACATGAGTCATAGGCTTCAATCTGAGGCCGCAGTCTCTAAAGCAGTCCTTATGCTGCGAAACTGGATACGAAGGACTTCGCCCTTTGCAATATTAGCTATTTGCAACTATTTGCCTCATCGCAAGTGCCTCCTAGAAGCCAATGCACAACGGTGGTGCCAGACCCCACGCCGTCTCCTCTTATAGGGTCTGGCTTCACAACAGGTTGCCAGATCCAGCGCTGAGCCAACAAGCATAGGCGCGCCGTCTCTCTAAAGCAGTCCTTATGCTGCGAAACTGGATACGAAGGACTTCGCCCTTTGCAATATTAGCTATTTGCAACTATTTGCCTCATCGCAAGTGCCTCCTAGAAGAATGCACAACGGTGGTGCCAGACCCCACGCCTCCCTTTATGCCAGGAGGGTATTAGCTATTTGCAACTATTTGCCTCATCGCAAGTGCCTCCTAGAAGAATGCACAACTGTGGTGCCAGACCCCACGCCTCCCTTTATGCCAGGAGGGTTGTGCTTCACAACGGTGGTGCCAGATCCCCTGCCTCCCTTCACGCCAGGGGGGTTGTGGTGCACGTAGGCTCCTCCCAGATCTCCTACGTCTGGTCCCCTGCGGCGACCATCCCTGCGTCGGCCGTCCCGGCGGCGCCCGTCTCCGTTCTTAGCCTCCGCCTCCTCCTCGTACTCGTCCTCGTTCTCAGCCGCCTCTCCCGTCTCAAGGCTCTTCACTTGCAGCAGTTCGACGGAAGCATCTGGGCCTTCCTGCTGCAGGGCGGTGTTCAGATCCGCCTCACAGCCGCCCGCCTCACAGCTGTCGGTGCTGAAAGCACCCCACAGCTGGCTTAGGACCACCACCAGAAGCGCACTGCGCATGGCACCAGCGAAAGTGGACGGAAGTGCAAAGCCCGGACAAATGATTGCCCAGCGCTGACCGCTTTTGGGTGAGCTAGATTGCTTGAAAAAAGACGTATTTCGGCAAACGTGCAACATCAACCATGAGCCAACAAGCATGACCAAGTAGACAAACTACGCAAAGAGTCTGCTCTTGTTGCTGAATGTCTTGAATGTCTAGCACGCACCATTGCTCCGACATCCCACCAAAATTGTTCCGATGACTCTGACAGACGTTTGTCTCTAGCCACACAGCGCCATGCCAACATGAGTCACAGGCTGCAATCTGAGGCCGCAGTCTCTAAAGCAGATCTTGTGCTGCGAAACTGGATACAAAGGACTCCGTCCTTATTTGCACTAGTAGGCACAATTTGCACTGTTGCGCTTTGGCCTCACCGCCAGCCCCTAGGTGCTTTGTACACAGTCGTGCCATGCCCCACGCCTCCCTTCACGCCAGGAGGGTTGTGCTTGACAACGGTGGTGCCATGCCCCACGCCCCCCTTCACGCCAGGAGGGTTGTGGTGCACGTAGGTTCCTCCCAGATCTCCTACGTCTGGTCCCCTGCGGCGACCATCCCTGCGTCGGCCATCCCGGCGGCGCCCGTCTCCGTTCTTAGCCTCCGCCTCCTCCTCGTACTCGTCCTCGCCCTCAGCCGCCTCTCCCGTCTCAAGGCTCTTCACTTGCAGCAGTTCGACGGAAGCATCTGGGCCTTCCTGCTGCAAGGCGGTGTTCAGATCCGCCTCACAGCCACCCGCCTCACAGCTGTCGGTGCTGAAAGCACCCCACAGCTGGCTTAGGACCGCCACCAGAAGCGCACTGCGCATGGCACCAGCGAAAGTGGACGGAAGTGCAAAGCCCGGACAAATGATTGCCCAGCGCTGACCGCTTTTGGGTGAGCTAGATTGCTTGAAATGACAAAAAACGAATGTGCGCAAGCGTGTACAATCTATCGTACGAGAAGGCCGATCCCATGCCGCTGTGTGGCACATCCTTGCTTTCATGTCAAGGCGAACGTTTGGGGCCTGTTCAGTCAGGCCGGTTGTTATCCGCCGGCACATCCTGCCTCGTGTAGAAGCTGCAGCATTAGCTTCTGCTGCTCCTAGGCGAAGATCACAAAAGCTTCCCCCCCTCCCAAAGAAAGCCATGGGGAAGTCTGATCGGATCCCCCGTGAGGCGTAGAACACCTAACGAAAAGGCGTCTACATGCTTCCAATTGTGGCAGGAGCTCGAGATGCACGCTGCAAAAGGACCGTGTATGCAAAAATACCTTTGTACCCAGCTTTATCGGAGCCAGAAGCGGCGAACTTGGCTCCATGTTCAATAGAGATCGAATCCATTGAGTTGCGAGCTTGCTAGTTTCTTCCAGGGAGGCAGATGTCAAAAATTAGGCCAAATCTCGAACCTCCCACAAGACTCGTTCAGCTCATGAAAGAAGTTTACGTAGTCAAGGAGTCAGGCTCGTCACAAGAAACTCCAAGGAGATGAGCGTTGGCAACTTCGAGAGGCAATTCGTCAAGGAGTCCTCTTGTGCGGATGTGGGTATGTGGCATAATAGGAATCCTCAAAATTGAAATGTCCTTTAGCTGTTCCTTCCAGAAACCCCCCAAAAACCGGTTCCCTCAAACAACACAAACCCATGTGGCTTCGCCGTACGGGTCCGACAATTTTTCAAAAAACGTCGCTCTTCCCTGCAAGGAGCACAAAGGCTCTGCCGAGTGACATCCATCACAAAGGTGTCCTCGGCCTCAAATTCTCACATCTGCCGAATTGGTCCAACAAGCTCCCAAGCGTTTTCTTGGGCTCACAGCAAGTGGGAGTTTGCAAGGGTAGGATATTGCACTCCGCGCTGGTTTGCGTTGGGCTGGAGCACATGACCATTGCCTACGCTGCATATTGTGCGATTGGTTCACGCTCCGGAAACTGTCGGTTTTTATGGACACATGTAGGAGACATTTGAGAGCGTTTGAAAACTTGGGAAGCCCGTTGACCGTTCTGAATCAGTCCGTGGGTGTTGGCAAGTGCCAGCCACATGCCACAAACGGCCCACTTCCAATCCGCAATCCGGGGCTCGCACTGATACCAAAGCGTCCTCCAACGCATAACGACTTTGCAAGCCGAATGCGCCCCCCAGCCCCCAACAAACCAGTACGAGCCGCGATCAACATTCCCCAAGACAACAGAAGCCATGGTTTTTGTTGGAAACTTGGCTAGGTCCCCTGCTAGAAATGTTGACCAAGCCTCACATGGAACCCACTTCCATGCTAGTTGCTGATGTGTCAGCAAATGCGAAAATAGCAAATCTGAATGCCCGGCACAACAGATACCCTACCCTTTCTCTCCTCAGCAACGCGTATGTGCCAGAAGCTTGCATTCTCCGCCACACCCGTTCCTACAACCGCACCCTGGGCGCTTGCACTAGTAGGGCGGGCGGGACGGGTCTAAAGAGGGCACGCAATGCTCCGCCGAACACGGGGTTTTGGGTGGAGCCTGACCAGCGCGAGGTATCGCCATCTGGCGATTTGGCAATCCTCGCGGGGCTGTGCTCAGAGGATTTGCACACAGCAAGTTGTGACCTTCGTGTACTACTTTCGTACTCAAAAGTTGCGACGTTCGAGCCGGAGCTGCCGGAATGTTTTACTTTGGTACTCAAAAGTTGCTACTCTCGAGCCAGAGCTTCGGGAGTGCACTTCGCGTACTACTTTCGAACTGAAATGTAAAGTTGCGGCTTTCGAGCCAGAGCTGCGGAAGTGCACTTCGCGCACTACTTGCATACTTAAAAGTCCCCAGCGAGAGCACTTCGACACGCACGATCCCCACAGAAGGTTCATCCAGCAAAGTACGCCGAGGCAGTGCACGAGCATGCCAGCGAGGTCCTTTCAAAAACCGTGGCGAGCCCGCGGCAAACCCGCACGCTAAACAGAGGTAGCCTTCGGGATTTGGCCAGCCTGCAGTACGCTGCGCCTGCCGCACAATTCCTCTCTCTATTTCCTTCTTTGTTCTTCTTGCTTACTGTCTCACTTTCTTTGCGTGCCTCTTTTGATTCTTTCAACTTTTCGTATTACAGAAGTTTCCCAACTAGACTTCCGTTGACTACCGCTACGCTCTCAGCATGTATACGTCAAACATAGTTTCCAGGTTCTAGGTCCCCCACACCTTACTCATGGTCATGGTTGTGGTTGGGGCTGGACTTGGTAAAGCATTGGTAACGGGTTGGTCGAGGGTTGGTCGAGGGTTGGTTGAGGGTTGGTTAGCGTAGAGTGAGTTTGGGCTGGGCAGCCGCGGGGGGGGGGGGGGGAAGGATATGCTGAGAAGCGGGCAAATTCCATCAGGTTTGGGTCCAATGAACATTAGAAATATTCTCTTCCATTCATTGGCCAAGCTCTCCAACGAGATCCCAATGCCCCCCGCCCCAGTCCTTGGGCAGTGGCCTGCAATGCAAGGTTGCAAGCAGCTCGCGCCAACCACAAAGCGCATGCCACGGACAAAGCTGACCCGTAAAAAAGTGGCCCACTGTGCGCTTGAGAAAAATAAAATACTCTCACTGTGTGCGAGTGGGTGGGAAACGGACATTTCCACAGTTGAAAGATTGAAGGTCAAACAAAGAAGCGACAAAATGCGGTCCTACCCGCGTCTTCCGGAGGCTGTGCATCCCTACTGGACACATCCCGAACGGCCACAGCGCTGCCTCAAACAGGACCCCAGTGGAAGGTTCAACCTCAGGCGCGTGGACTTCTCTTCAAGCCCCCCGAACTACGGCACGCTCCCCCCCCCCTTCCATTTTCCGGAAAGCAGAGCGTGGTCAAATATGTGGACGGACTTACAGTAGGCCTACAGCATCTCTAAGCTTGGTCCAATCAGAGCCACTTCTGTACATGCGCAACAGGGCACCACATGTTCAATCTAACAATGCATTTTCCCAAGGGCTCGACTGGAGCACTACAATCCGAGTATTCGAGCCACTGCAGATCGCTTCTAAGTGTCTCCGGCGGGGCGATTTTCCACAGCTGTCTTTGACTGTGAGACGCCTCCATCAGTCCTTCGAGGCATGTCAGCGGCTTCGAGAGTTGACGCACATGCAAACACGCGCATACACAGACACTACGCACCGGAACAGCTCCCAACTTACTCAATAAACCCACCCTGCCCAAACCCCGCGGGTCACAGTGGACTAAACACCCTGGGCTCAGGGATTATGGGGCCTCTGCGGGCCTGCTTGCTTCGGGCCCCAGCGGAGGGCTCCCGAACTCGAGTCCTCGTCGTCGGAGCACGGGGGCGAGCAGGCGCGCGCCTTGCCGGACTTGGTGTCCAGCAGCTCCCAGCCTGAGATCGGAACGACCCCTCAGAGTAAGCAGATGGACATGTTGCACTTGAAACTTCACAGGCTATCTGGAGCCCTTTACCAGGGAGCATCACAACTAGCCATAACTAGCCCTTCGCCCCCAGCCAACTCACCAAACACCCAACTGGCCCGCACTTTCGCCCAGACGCTCCCATCTTCTCGCTGCTGCTTCTGGAAGCGCTTTTGAGGGGCTTCCTTTGGTGCCGTCTCCGCCTTCTTCGTTTTGGCCTCCGCGAAAAGCGACCCGCTCCGGACGTCAACCCGCTAGGCTCGTGGCACAGGCATCGACAAAAGCCGGTGTCTGAAGCAGCCAGAATTGGAGCTCCAACTGGCAATGTGCATGCGTCTAGCCTTCAGTTGGGGACAGGTGCGGCGCTTGGCAGCATAGCTAAGTCGATATGGTCATGAGCGCCATGTGTTTTTTGCTTGTCGCATCATTGTGGACTCCTTTCTTGTAAGTCTGGCTGCTCCGCGGCTTTTGCAAGACGAGCTTTGCAGCACGGTCCTTGTTAGCAACCCATGCTGGTTCACAACAGGTACAATGTGTGAGAACTTCTTGGCTGCATGGCTACTGTAAAACATTTCTGCAAGGTCTGATTCCGAGAATTAAGAAGCTTGCTGTTCGTGAGAGGTGTGGTCCTTTCACAACACATCAAAACTTCACAGTGCCACCTTCCGGGCTTCGCAATACCTTAGCATCCCTTCGATTCCCTGCCGAAAGCTGACTTGATCCTAGCTTCCGTGAGATTCACAACTGCAGTGTGGAGAGCCAGGAAGTTTCTCGAGACAGGGAGCGATACTGGACTATTACAAGCAACTTTGTAAGGTATGATATACATATATACGTCACAACCCACAACCATACCCACAGCCACAGCCACTGCCACAAGAACAGCAACAGCAACAGCAGCCGCAACCGCAACACCAACATCAACACCGGCGCCAGCACCAGCACCAGCACCAGCACCAGCACCAACACCACCCAACACCAACAACAACACCACCAACAACACCAAAAACACCAACAACGCCAACAACACCAACAACACCAACAACACCAACAACACCAACAACCAACCACCAATAACCAACACACAACAAACAGCAAACGACAAGCCACAAACAAAAATGACATAGAGCAAACAACGAAGAAGACAAACAAGCAACAAGCAAAAAGCAACAAGCAGCAAACAAAAAACAAGTAGCAGCAAACAGCAAACAGGTTAATCATTACACTCATAATCATAATCAATCATGTTCACCTTCGAAACTGAGAATCGCCAGTGCCAGTGATATAGTATCACAAAACATCCATGACCGAATCCAACCGCAATATCTCGTACCTTAACATGTCACATCACATGCACATCACATCATCATATTACAAGCTATTTTGACATCGCATCCCATCACATCAGATCGCGCCATATCGCAGAATAGCCCAGCCTAGCAAATGGTACTTTGATGGTCCTTCAGGCTACAACGGCACCTTCCAAGCGTCAACACGGAGCCCCGCAAAAGGTCAAAAGGCAGCAACCTTTGAATTGGAATGCAAGCATTTCAGAGCATCCAACAACAACAAAAAAACGACGTTGGCGGTAAAGTAATTTCTGTTTCTATCTTTCCCTATGTTTCCCACAAGTCTCCCTCCCTGCCTCTCTCCGGATCAGCACTTCGCTATCCGCCAGCGCGAAGACGTGGTGCCCGATGTCTAGCTTCACCTCGTAGGGCGCCCCGGAAAACTGCGCGGGCCAGCTCTGCTCCTCGGCCGTCGATCGGTTGGGAGTCCAACAAAAAAAAAAAAAACACGCCCAACAAAGCAAGCAAGTGGCTGCTTTGTCTCCAAATGGTCCTTGAAAAGAATGGCGTTCGCTTCCATTGCGGCTCTGCCAAAGAAGGGGCCATTCTCGAGTGGGGAGCAATGAGGATCCCCAGAAAAGCGCAACTTGCGCTTGGCATACTTGCCTCCTTTGTTGGGAATCAACTGCACATACCTTTCATGCCCCTTAGCCCGAAGTTCCGTAGATACCCACCAAAGCTTATCCACACCATTCTCAAAGTCCTTTTCCAAGGCCACAAGGACCCTGAGCGACTGACCTGTGCATAGTGCATGGGATTAAAAACAGAAACATCCTGGGATCCAAGTACTTTGCAATGAACTGACTCCCCATCAGCCCGTCGAGCTGCTCGAAACCAGAGCGCCACCACCACGCCCTCCTCCCAGGTGGTCTTCCCACCTGGGGCCTCCACCCGGCAAAGCACACGGTCACCTTCCAGGAAGCGCAAGGCCTTGCCAGAAGTGGCGTCGCCTCTCAGGGAACGAGCCGGGAAGAAAACCCAGGGAACGCCTCCCCCAAGCCTCTCTTAGAACTTTCGACGGTCTCCCAAGAGCCCACGGCTCTCGGCGCACGGCGAGCCTGTGGTGCTGCTAGTGTTTGGCCTCACCTTCAGGCAGCAAACTCCCGCTTCGCTGGCCTCACAAAAGGCTCACATCTCCAGGTTCCGGACACAAATCGGGGGCCCCTTTTTTTTCATGTGGTTTCACGTTGAGTACTTTTGCCAAACGGGGGTGAGCCATTTTGAGCAACATGTGGCCATGTTGCGGCTGAGGCACGAGTTCGTCGCCTGCCAGCTGCAGGATGGCCGGCAGAAGCGCCAGCAGCACCGCAGGGTTGGGGCGCACCCCGTGCTGCGAGGCGATGTTGGCGTAGTCTGCGGCCCAGTCCTAGGTCCCAATGGTCTCAATGGTCTCAATGGTCTCAATGGTCCCAATGGTCCAAGCTCTCAATCCAATTGAAGCGCCAAAAATGAGGTGAAAGATTCTGACGCGTGCATCCTTTGCCAGACAGACCTGCACCAATGAGAGGATGTCCAAAAACAAGAAATACTGGTTGCTATAATATAGGATCTCCTCCAATATTGGATTATCGAAAAGTGTACTAGAATGACTTAACATTAAAAGAGGTGTACCAAATAAGGTTGGTGATGCTAATAAAAGTATGAAAGCTGAAATCTAGAGAGAGAAAATAAACAATGGGATAGTCTTTAAACAAAGGGCAATAAGATCTAAGATTTAGAATTGCTGTCCAAAAGTTGAGAGATGTAAGACATAAAGGTATACTAGAGATTAATAATCCCAATATAAGAGTTCCTGCCCTTGCGGGTGATAAAGTCATATGTTAAAGGCGGATAGAAAGTCCATCCTCTACCACCTCCAAAATCTGACAAAGAAAGGACTAGTAAAACATATTCCCAACATTTAAACAACAAAAAAAAAACAACTAGGAGGAAGTCAGCTCTTGAGGCCCTGGCCAGGTCACGTTTTGGACCCAAGGAGCGAAGGGCGAGAGCTTGAAGCCGTCCCGCTGGGCGACAACTTTGGGCTCCTTCTCCAGCACCATGCGGCAGATCTCCAGCATCTCCGCGTAGTCGGTGTAGGGGTTCAGCACCATCCTCGATGGGTTTGAGTTGACTGAGGCTTGCTAGCCGATAGGTTCACTTTCCTGGTTCAGCGCGATTCTAGGGCTGCGGTTTTGGTGCTGGGTCAGCGCGGTTCAGGGTCTAGGCTCTGGTTTGGGGTCAACACGGATGATAAGTTTTGGTTTAGGGTCAACACGGTTTGCGCTTGCTTTGGTTTGGGGTCAACTCAGGTTCGGGCTTAGGTGTTGGCTTAGTTTGGGGTTGAGGTTTTGGTTCAGGGTCAACAGGGTTTGGGGTTGAGGCTTTGTTTAGGGTCAACACGATTTTGGGGCTTAGGTTTTAGTTTAGTGTCGACTCAGTTTAGGGCGTGGCTGCTACTTGAGCGAGAAGCCGGTTTCACTCAGTGTGGATTTGCAGGCTGAAGGGTTCACAAACTTTTAAAGCTTCTGGAAAAAAGCTTGCTGACTTTAGGCCTTTATCTTCCCCGTGAACATGTGACATGACCATATCCCTCTTCACATTCTTCTGCGCGTACCTGCCAATTCCGCCCGAGCGCTCTAAAGAAACTCATCTACAAAGGCGTTTCATGCTGGTAAAAGCCCCTACAGGACCCTACAGGCTTTCCTGCGGACGAAAACGGCATTCTCAAGACGGCGAAGAGTTAAACACTTTGATGAAAAGGCTCGATGTTGGGCCAAGAGCCCACCCCGGGGTTGCCGCAGCGCACCAATGAGAACCCAGGATAAAGAAAGGCCTTGGCTGATATTTTGGGGGGAGGATCTTTTTCACAAGGTCACAATGGAAAACGGCCCCCTATTTGGTTCGATGCCTGGCGTGGATTTTGCCCATCTCATCCAGCAGATTGATATTTATTTGCGACGTGCCCGAGTTCCAAACGCGATTTCTTCGCGATCCCCAAGTAAAGGACGTGCAGTACTGTGTCTGACCTCGTTTCACCCCCCCCCCCCCCCCAGCGGTGAGCTCGCCACACGGGCTGTCGAATTCGGCCACAGGGCAGCAGCAGCGTGGAGGCGCCGTTCTGCGTGGCAGCCACGTCGGCGCCCGCCTCCAAAAACTGCCGCACCACCGGGGCCTTCAGGCCCTTCTTCGCCTCGAAAACGAAACGAGGAAACCCCTCCTGGCGTCCCTCATTGGGGACGGTCTGAGTGAGAGGGAAAACCAAAAGGGAAAGCAACCTGCCAAATATTGAATTCAAGGTTCAGCAAAAGTAAACCTGTCTGCGGCAACTGAAATCCCGTTCAGCTTAGTCTAAAGTCACGTTTCGCAAGAATCAGGATTCAAGATTCTGGCAAAACATGTCTGATGAATCTTGAATCTTGGATCGTGCATCTTGGGTGCCATCCACTTTAAAGTCACTCTAACGTCATTGGGAATGAGGCCAAAAAGTTCAAGTACACATCGAAGTGGATTGCTCATACTACAAAAACGTCATCCGTGTTTGTACTGTAAATACCGGCGAATTTGAGAAAGACCTCGCTCCATGGGGAGGTGCGGCGTACACACTTTTGGCGCTTTTGGCTTCCCCGTTTCCCCGGCCTCGTAGGCGCATTGCTCCAAATATTTCAGGAACATCTGCGAGGTCCAGGCGCGCCTCACCGGCTCCTTGCCCAGGCGCAGCTCCAAGTCGGACAGCACCTCGCGAACCCAAAACGCGACGGCCACGCACAGTGGGTTTTGGTCTATCCTTCGGGTTTTCGGGACAAGCTGCCCAGCCAAAAGCGAGGGCCACACCCGCAGATCTGTGGGGATGCGGTTGGGAACTACAAAGATCTGGGGTTGTGCGAAGAGATCTCACAAAATCAGAGATCCCCCGTTGCGATGCCGTTTCAAGGGAAACTTGTAATTATTGGGATACCAACCAGAACCAAACGACCTTAGGAAACCCTTGCCATTTTCTGTCCGAATCCATTTCGGGGGAGGAACCCCACCCCAAATATTATTTTCGGATAAAGAAAAGACACGCACAACTATGCGTCCCTTTTGCAGGCACCGGCCCCTAATATTCCACGCAAAAAAGCTGGTAAAACAAAATCACAATCATCACCTGGTGCTAAAGGGTTGTTTTTTCCAAAACCCATGGTGAGGAATCCAAATAGTGGTTGCCGAACCTATTTCTGGCTGGGACTGTCTGTCCCTTTCCTTGATCCCGAATTTTCATTGTGGCACATCAAATCCCCAAAGTCCCCAAAGCCCCCAAAACCGCACCAAAAAAAATCCTCCAATGTGTTTGCGAAAAAAGAAATTGAGATAAAAGAAAGGCAAAGCACGGGCACAGCCCATCGCGCGAAAGGATTCGAGCACGGCCTGGTTCTGCTGCTCCTGGGTGGTGAACTGTCTGAGCCAAGAGCACAAGCCCGAGATCTCATCCAAGGGCTGCTCCGGGGACCGGATCAACGCCCGCACCGCCGCCACCTGCACCTAGCTGTGGGGTTCCTCTTGGCTTCCCTTTACGTGCGTTAAACCGATAAAAGGGCCAGTACTAGTTAGTTCCAGAATTGGAAACTGCTCACCAACCTGAATCTCAGGCATGTCTAGTAAGGCAGCTTCATGGGTGAGCATGTGTTCTTGCCATATTGGGGTTGGTCTGGGGCGGTCCTTGTGCTTGCTTTTGGTTGCCCTTGGTTGCCCTCATCCCAAATCAAGTCCCCTGTTCGGGAGACACTATGAGGGTGCGGTTTTCCAATGTACCGAAATAGGATCTTAGCACCCGTCATGGTCAATTCCAGAACAGCAGATGGTGACCGTAGCCCATATGGTTCCAACTTTCCACATCTGAAGCTTTCTGGGCGACGAAGAAGAGGAAAGCCCGCTTAAGACACAATCCTCGTAGTGCTTTTCATTCGCAAGGCTCCCCCCATTTGGCTGTGGCTCAAAAAGCCGGTACCAAATGGAACCCTGGTAAGTGGGAACATGGACCAACCCCTGCGCAACCCTCCTGTTTGACTTTGAGCCACACCCATTTGGCTCACTCCTCGCCTCTGTACGAGGCTCCTCCTCCGGCAAATCCTCCTGGCTTGCAAGGCTCAGGATGGCGCTCAGCGCCGTGTCGCCGTCGGCGTCCTCCACCTGCGAGAAATTGGAAACTGAGCCCTCAGATCCCCAAGTGGGTTAAATGGAAACTACATCTAAACACCAAAAGTTTTAAAAGAGTAAAAAGCTAGGGGCATGGCTGGGAGCCAAGGAAACCAACCTGTCTGGGAAAGCTCCACCAGCCTTACATCTTGCAACAGACCCATCAGCCTGTTGTATGTCTTTTCAAAACAACAGGAAACCAACTAGTCTTTCTTTGACAGGTGTTTGGCCTTATCAAAAGAGAAGACCCCTCTTTGTGAACGTGGTTTAACGCGAGCCACGAATTCAAAAGCCTTCAAAAAGCCATACGGAGGTCTGGATTGTCCACTCACGGGGGAACCCCAAAATGGATTGTCTCCTTTCCAGGTGTCCCTTTGAAACAAAAGAAACCCATGTTGAACTCACCGGAGAAATTGCTCTCCTCTCGATAAAAATCTGGGAGGTAATCCGGATCGCCTAAAGGGGGCCAGGTTGACGAACAGGGGTCAATGTGGATGCTCACTTTATGTCATCTCAGAAGGGCTTGCAATGGGAACCCTGGTGCAGAACCCGGTGAGGTGTCCAATTTGAGTGGAGATCCTTCACTTTTCATCTGCCAAGTTGATTGATGCACGCTTCAAAAAAAGCAGCCCTCCTCTCCTTCGCAAAGCGCCTCAGGGGCATCAAAGCAACCAACAGCCAGAAAAAGAAAAGATCGGAAGAAGCCACCGTCTCAACGGGCCTTTGGATCAGCACCGTGCATCAGCAGCGCCGTGATGACCAGGAAAAGCCTCAGCGTGCGATATTCCGATGCAAATGGTGGCCACGCGGCCACGCGCTCCCTGGCGACCCACGGCGCTGAGACAGCATGCAACTTGCCAAGCAAATCGTTTTCTTGACACAAAGCTCACTCCCATGCCAAGCATCTCCGCGGGCTCAGTGGACTCGTTCATGCACGCGTAGTGCAGCGCCGGCATGCCTTCCTCTTGCGCAGGCACCCAGTCCATGCTCCCGGGCCTCGGGCTCCATTCACATTTCCGCACGAGGTCCCGAGGTCCCGAGTTCGAGAAAAGTAAAAAAACAGGGCAACTCCGGGCAAGTCCAAAAGGAAAACCCTCCTTTCGCGGATGTCATACGCACTGAATGGAAGGGCATTCCTTCTGGGCAGGCAGAGCTTCTCTTGGCTATCCTGGCGTCTCAGCCAGGAATGCCCATCAATCTGCGCTCGCTGGCATCTGGCTCAGTCAGGCTGCGGGATTTTCTGCAGGAAGCCCTGGATGACATCCACCCGCAGCTCAGTGTCTTGCATGTAGGCAATCTAGGCGTTTCGAAAGCAACAAAACGCCCTGGACACGCAGAGTCGTCACATGCAAGTGACACCTTCATGCCAAGGCTGTCAGGGGTCCCATTTCGGTGACATGGTGTGCCGCCGTCCGTGCCCCGTTGGCACGAGGTCTAAGTGAGCAGCTTGCAGGTAGTCCATCAGCTGCTCAGCTGCGGACATCGCAACAAAATGTTGGTGTGGCTCGTCTGAAGCGGTGCTGGGAGGTGTTCCCTTCTCTTTGTCCAAAGCAACGAACTCAAGGTATGCACTTGTTGTTGTTTCGTGTCAAAGATTGTGCAAATGCTGCCAAGCGCTTTGTCCCATGCCTACACACGCCAAGCGTGCCTCTAAAACTTTCCCTCAGCTGAGCAGAGACCAGCACAATCAGGCAACGTCGTTGCTTGCATTGGGTCATGCCCTTTTTGGACACCAACTGAATCTCTTTCATGTCGACGACAGTTGGCCGCACCTTGTCCGTTTGCGTGCTGGCCACTGGGGCCACCGGCAAAAGCTCGCCCTCGTCGATGTGCTCCAGTGCTCGTGCGCAGAAGCCCTCGCCGGCCCAGCCCACAGGAGTGCCCCTTGAGTCAGGTCTCCTTTGACAAATGAGTTTGATGAGACACGGCTGTTTGTTAACAAGCGAAACAAGGGATGGATGCACGCAAAACGTCCTAAATCACAAGCTGTAGATTGATTCCTGGCTTGGTGTTTAGACCTTGCCGGTGAACAAGTGACCCTCGTGAGGCCGGCGTTACAAAGTGCGAAGTTTGCACGATCCCAACGGCTTGGCTTGAAATCGGACACGCATTCGATGTCAAGCCTCGGACATGGCCTTCTGCGAGAGCCATTTCAATTTCTTGGCACAAAATAGAGGGTCCCAAAAAATTAGTGTTTCTGTTGTGTTCCTCTTAAAGCAGCCCAAAACCTGGCACAGTACCCTCAAAAACGTCAGACAAATCCAAACATCGTACCCTCACAGGGAAAAAATGGCACCCCGACGTCCCAGTCCATTCTGGATCCGCTCCTGGCTGGGCGCCTTGGCTGGGGAGAAGAAGTCCACCTCGAGGGTTGGGTCTACGGACTCAACTGCAACGCGCTGACTCCGTGCGTCCTTCCAAGCACCCGATCCACGGACAATGGCAGTTCTTTCTTAAGGGAAACAGAAGCCCTGGAAGCGGCGTTTCGGCTTCCTTTTAGCCAAAAGTTTTTACAGTCCCATGTGCCCCGGCGGATCGATCTGCGCCTTGCTCGAAGCCTTGAGGCCCTGCTTCTCCGCCCATTCCATCATGCCCTGGGCTCAATGACTGGCGAGCCACTTGGGCAAACCTTCCTGTGCTGAGTGGTCAGTGGTGTCTGTCGAAATTTCGCCAATCCCCAGGTCGCAAACCCCAAAATGACCATAGACTACAGCGAATGACCAGACCTCGCAGAAACCCAATCTGCCTCTCCATGGTCAGACGGTTTTCCCATGTCCCAACGCCGAGCCGTGCCTCGCCATGCTTCACGGCTGGGGGAGGTAGCCATGCATCCTGACACGGCAAAGGCAGATCTGCAACTCCAGAAAGCAAAAGTGTGGCGATACGGGACGGTCTGCCCCACCGGAGCAAACCCTTGCTTCCCCTTCTTGAGTCGTGCTGCCCCCGTTGATTGAGTCCGTTCAAGGAGCGGCTCCTGCCGTGACTGCGTGCTCTCGGAGGCAAGCATTCACCAGTGGTACGCTCGAGGTCTGTGTCTGCTTCTTGTTTGAAAGACAGCTCGTGTCTGAATGTCGGCATCTGGGGGGTGAGAATCCTCAACAGATTGAGCAAAATCAGGGGAATCCATTCCGAGCTGTTGCAGGGGGATGCAGCAAGTTGTCCACACAACTTCCATTGCCACGCAATCTGAAGCTGCTGGAAGTGTCAAGCGCATCTGGCTGCGGCTTTTCCATGGGCCCTGGAGCCTAGGTAAAGCGCATTACACATCCCCCATCCCCCATCTAAATCCGCCTTGTGTCAAATCCCCGCCTCCCCTATGTGCAAGGCGCAATCCGTTTTCTCCAGCTCCAAATCCCCAATCCTTTCTGCCTGCTCCTTTCTCCCTTTTCTCCGGGGCTTCAGCTCAGACCTCCAGCATGTCGCCCGGAGGGCCCTCGGCGGCACTGTGCCACTCGGGCAGGCGCGTGCACTCGGAGGGGTGGAGCACCAGAGGCTTCCACTTCTGGCGCGCCGCCTGGTTTGACATGGCAAAACCAGTTTGAGGTCAAAACCAGGCGGGTCGACCCAACCTGGCCGGCCGAACTCGAGAAAACAAATCTCCACAGAACCTGAACAGCAAAAGTGTTACAACTGGAACATACCACCAAAAACAAATGAAAGCAACACACGAGTTACCAACAGTTGAGTGTTTACTTCAAGTTGGCCTAAAAGGACGGAGGGAGTTGCATCCCGCCTCATCCATCTCCAGCCACTCGCGGGCCTCCGCCAGTTCCGCCTCCTCCGCCGCGTCTTCTTGCGCCGTGGGGCGCGCGCACTCCAGCGGGAAGGCCCGGTGCAGCCACTGCCTGGGCGATTGGTCCGAGCGCCTTTGCTGCCTCCGGTGATGGTAAGAAAAGATCCAAAAAGCTCCGACAGACCCAAGGCTTAAGGCTTGAGTCAAAACCAAAGGGCACTTGGGCTGGTTTGGAGACCGCCACTTTGAGCAATGGGAGGGATGCCGCGAGTTCCATGGGTGGGCGTCCAAGAGGCTACAAATAGTCGATCGATCCCGAAGGCCGCATCCTTCCCACCCTCTTTCAAAGCGACAAAAGTAAGCGCCCATGTGTGGCAAGCTGTTTTTCACAATACAAGGAAGCCAACAGTAGACTTTCACCAATTGGAGTGAGCTTGCCCCCCTTCCGCACAGACCACCTCCATTCCGCGCTCACCGCGCCTAAAGGTGGCCGTGTGCAGCACCACGGCGCCGCTGTCGTCTGCCAACCCCGGCAGCTCCGCGGCGGCCTCCGCCGCGGCGCCCAGCGCTGCCGCCGTCTCCGCCACCTGCGCCGCCGAGCCCGCGGGCGCCCGCAGCGAGGCCTCGACCACAAAAACGTGGCGCGTTGGGCAGCGCAACAAAGAGATTGCACCCAAAATGCCGGCGGTGCTTTCGACTCTGCCAGACTTTTGTCTCTAGAGTCACAGGCTGCAATCTGAGGCTGCAGTCTCTAAAGCAGATCTTATGCTGCGAAACTGGATAGAAAGGACTCCGCCCGTATTTGCACTAGTAGGCACAATTTGCACTGTTGCGCTTTGGCCTCACCGCCAGCCCCTGGGTGCTTTGTACACAGTCGTGCCATGCCCCACGCCTCCCTTCACGCCAGGAGGGTTGTGCTTCACAACGGTGGTGCCATGCCCCACGCCCCCCTTCACGCCAGGAGGGTTGTGGTGCACGTAGGTTCCTCCCAGATCTCCTACGTCTGGTCCCCTGCGGCGACCATCCCTGCGTCGGCCATCCCGGCGGCGCCCGTCGCCGTTCTTAGCCTCCGCCTCCTCCTCGTACTCGTCCTCGTCCTCGGCCGCCTCTTCTGTCTCAAGGCTCTTCACTTGCAGCAGTTCGACGGAAGCATCTGGGCCTTCCTGCTGCAAGGCGGTGTTCAGATCCGCCTCACAGCCACCCGCCTCACAGCTGTCGGTGCTGAAAGCACCCCACAGCTGGCAAAGGACCACCACCAGAAGCGCACTGCGCATGGCACCAGCGAAAGTGGACGGAAGTGCAAAGCCCGGACAAATGATTGCCCAGCGCTGACCGCTTTTGGGCGAGCTAGATTGCTTGATACAAAAAGTATTTCGGCAAACGTGCAACATCAACTATGAGCCAACAAGCATAGCCAAGTGGAAAGACAACGCAAAGAGCCTGCTCGTGTTGGGCAATGTTGAATGTCTTGAATGTCTAGCACGCACCATTGCTCCGACATCCCACCAAAAGTGTTCCGAAGACTCTGACAGACTTTTGTCTCTAGCCACACAGCGCCATGCCAACATGAGTCACAGGCTGCAATCTGAGGCTGCAGTCTCAAAAGCAGATCTTATGCTGCGAAACTGGATAGAAAGGACTCCGCCCGTATTTGCACTAGTAGGCACAATTTGCACTGCTGCGCTTTGGCCTCACCGCCAGCCCCTGGGTGCTTTGTACACAGTCGTGCCATGCCCCACGCCTCCCTTCACGCCAGGAGGGTTGTGCTTCACAACGGTGGTGCCATGCCCCACGCCCCCCTTCACGCCAGGAGGGTTGTGGTGCACGTAGGTTCCTCCCAGATCTCCTACGTCTGGTCCCCTGCGGCGACCATCCCTGCGTCGGCCATCCCGGCGGCGCCCGTCGCCGTTCTTAGCCTCCGCCTCCTCCTCGTAATCGTCCTCGTCCTCGGCCGCCTCTTCCGTCTCAAGGCTCTTCACTTGCAGCAGTTCGACGGAAGCATCTGGGCCTTCCTGCTGCAAGGCGGTGTTCAGATCCGCCTCACAGCCACCCGCCTCACAGCTGTCGGTGCTGAAAGCACCCCAGAGCTGGCAAAGGACCACCACCAGAAGCGCACTGCGCATGGCACCAGCGAAAGTGGACGGAAGTGCAAAGCCCGGACAAATGATTGCCCAGCGCTGACCGCTTTTGGGCGAGCTAGATTGCTTGATACAAAAAGTATTTCGGCACACGTGCAACATCAACTATGAGCCAACAAGCATGACCAAGTGGAAAGACAACGCAAAGAGCCTGCTCGTGTTGGGCAATGCTGAATGTCTTGAATGTCTAGCACGCACCATTGCTCCGACATCCCACCAAAAGTGTTCCGAAGACTCTGACAGACTTTTGTCTCTAGCCACACAGCGCCATGCCAACATGAGTCACAGGCTGCAATCTGAGGCTGCAGTCTCTAACGCAGATCTTATGCTGCGAAACTGGATAGAAAGGACTCCGCCCTTATTTGCACCAGTAGGCACAATTTGCACTGTTGCGCTTTGGCCTCACCGCCAGCCCCTAGGTGCTTTGTACACAGTCGTGCCATGCCCCACGCCTCCCTTCACGCCAGGAGGGTTGTGCTTCACAACGGTGGTGCCATGCCCCACGCCCCCCTTCACGCCAGGAGGGTTGTGGTGCACGTAGGTTCCTCCCAGATCTCCTACGTCTGGTCCCCTGCGGCGACCATCCCTGCGTCGGCCATCCCGGCGGCGCCCGTCGCCGTTCTTAGCCTCCGCCTCCTCCTCGTAATCGTCCTCGTCCTCGGCCGCCTCTTCCGTCTCAAGGCTCTTCACTTGCAGCAGTTCGACGGAAGCATCTGGGCCTTCCTGCTGCAAGGCGGTGTTCAGATCCGCCTCACAGCCACCCGCCTCACAGCTGTCGGTGCTGAAAGCACCCCACAGCTGGCAAAGGACCACCACCAGAAGCGCACTGCGCATGGCACCAGCGAAAGTGGACGGAAGTGCAAAGCCCGGACAAATGATTGCCCAGCGCTGACCGCTTTTGGGCGAGCTAGATTGCTTGATACAAAAAGTATTTCGGCACACGTGCAACATCAACTATGAGCCAACAAGCATGACCAAGTGGAAAGACAACGCAAAGAGCCTGCTCGTGTTGGGCAATGCTGAATGTCTTGAATGTCTAGCACGCACCATTGCTCCGACATCCCACCAAAAGTGTTCCGAAGACTCTGACAGACTTTTGTCTCTAGCCACACAGCGCCATGCCAACATGAGTCACAGGCTGCAATCTGAGGCTGCAGTCTCTAAAGCAGATCTTATGCTGCGAAACTGGATAGAAAGGACTCCGCCCTTATTTGCACAGTAGGCACAATTTGCACTGTTGCGCTTTGGCCTCACCGCCAGCCCCTAGGTGCTTTGTACACAGTCGTGCCATGCCCCACGCCTCCCTTCACGCCAGGAGGGTTGTGCTTCACAACGGTGGTGCCATGCCCCACGCCCCCCTTCACGCCAGGAGGGTTGTGGTGCACGTAGGTTCCTCCCAGATCTCCTACGTCTGGTCCCCTGCGGCGACCATCCCTGCGTCGGCCATCCCGGCGGCGCCCGTCGCCGTTCTTAGCCTCCGCCTCCTCCTCGTACTCGTCCTCGTCCTCGGCCGCCTCTTCTGTCTCAAGGCTCTTCACTTGCAACAGTTCGACGGAAGCATCTGGGCCTTCCTGCTGCAAGGCGGTGTTCAGATCCGCCTCACAGCCACCCGCCTCACAGCTGTCGGTGCTGAAAGCACCCCATAGCTGGCAAAGGACCACCACCAGAAGCGCACTGCGCATGGCACCAGCGAAAGTGGACGGAAGTGCAAAGCCCGGACAAATGATTGCCCAGCGCTGACCGCTTTTGGGCGAGCTAGATTGCTTGATACAAAAAGTATTTCGGCACACGTGCAACATCAACTATGAGCCAACAAGCATAGCCAAGTGGAAAGACAACGCAAAGAGCCTGCTCGTGTTGGGCAATGCAGAATGTCTTGAATGTCTAGCACGCACCATTGCTCCGACATCCCACCAAAAGTGTTCCGAAGACTCTGACAGACTTTGTCTATAGCCACACAGCGCCATGCCAACATGAGTCACAGGCTGCAATCTGAGGCTGCAGTCTCTAAAGCAGATCTTATGCTGCGAAACTGAATAGAAAGGACTCCGTCCTTATTTGCACTAGTAGGCACAATTTGCACTGTTGCGCTTTGGCCTCACCGCCAGCCCCTGGGTGCTTTGTACACAGTCGTGCCATGCCCCACGCCGCCCTTCACGCCAGGAGGGTTGTGCTTCACAACGGTGGTGCCATGCCCCACGCCCCCCTTCACGCCAGGAGGGTTGTGGTGCACGTAGGTTCCTCCCAGATCTCCTACGTCTGGTCCCCTGCGGCGACCATCCCTGCGTCGGCCATCCCGGCGGCGCCCGTCGCCGTTCTTAGCCTCCGCCTCCTCCTCGTACTCGTCCTCGTCCTCGGCCGCCTCTTCTGTCTCAAGGCTCTTCACTTGCAACAGTTCGACGGAAGCATCTGGGCCTTCCTGCTGCAAGGCGGTGTTCAGGTCCGCCTCACAGCCGCCCGCCTCACAGCTGTCGGTGCTGAGAGCACCCCACAGCTGGCAAAGGACCGCCACCAGAAGCGCACTGCGCATGGCACCAGCGAAAGTGGACGGAAGTGCAAAGCCCGGACAAAATATTGCCCAGCGCTGACCGCTTTTGGGCGAGCTAGATTGCTTGATACAAAAAGTATTTCGGCAAACGTGCAACATCAACTACGAGCCAACAAGCATAGCCAAGTGGAAAGACAACGCAAAGAGCCTGCTCGTGTTGGGCAATGCTGAATGTCTTGAATGTCTAGCACGCACCATTGCTCCGACATCCCACCAAAAGTGTTCCGAAGACTCTGACAGACTTTGTCTATAGCCACACAGCGCCATGCCAACATGAGTCACAGGCTGCAATCTGAGGCTGCAGTCTCTAAAGCAGATCTTATGCTGCGAAACTCAATACAAAGGACTCCGCCCTTATTTGCACTAGTAGGCACAATTTGCACTGTTGCGCTTTGGCCTCACCGCCAGCCCCTGGGTGCTTTGTACACAGTCGTGCCATGCCCCACGCCGCCCTTCACGCCAGGAGGGTTGTGCTTCACAACGGTGGTGCCATGCCCCACGCCCCCTTTCACGCCAGGAGGGTTGTGGTGCACGTAGGTTCCTCCCAGATCTCCTACGTCTGGTCCCCTGCGGCGACCATCCCTGCGTCGGCCATCCCGGCGGCGCCCGTCGCCGTTCTTAGCCTCCGCCTCCTCCTCGTACTCGTCCTCGTCCTCGGCCGCCTCTTCTGTCTCAAGGCTCTTCACTTGCAGCAGTTCGACGGAAGCATCTGGGCCTTCCTGCTGCAAGGCGGTGTTCAGATCCGCCTCACAGCCACCCGCCTCACAGCTGTCGGTGCTGAAAGCACCCCACAGCTGGCAAAGGACCGCCACCAGAAGCACACTGCGCATGGCACCAGTGAAAGTGGACGGAAGTGCAAAGCCCGGACAAAATATTGCCCAGCGCTGACCGCTTTTGGGTGAGCTAGATTGCTTGAAAAAGGTGTATTTCGGCAAACGTGCAACATCAACTACGAGCCAACAAGCATAGCCAAGTGGAAACACAACGCAAAGAGCCTGTTCGTGTTGGGCAATGCTGAATGTCTTGAATGTCTAGCACGCACCATTGCTCCGACATCCCACCAAAAGTGTTCCGAAGACTCTGACAGACTTTGTCTCTAGCCACACAGCGCCATGCCAACATGAGTCACAGGCTGCAATCTGAGGCTGCAGTCTCAAAAGCAGATCTTATGCTGCGAAACTGGGTAGAAAGGACTCCGCCCTTATTTGCACTAGTAGGCACAATTTGCACTGTTGCGCTTTGGCCTCACCGCCAGCCCCTGGGTGCTTTGTACACAGTCGTGCCATGCCCCACGCCTCCCTTCACGCCAGGAGGGTTGTGCTTCACAACGGTGGTGCCATGCCCCACGCCCCCTTTCACGCCAGGAGGGTTGTGGTGCACGTAGGTTCCTCCCAGATCTCCTACGTCTGGTCCCCTGCGGCGACCATCCCTGCGTCGGCCATCCCGGCGGCGCCCGTCGCCGTTCTTAGCCTCCGCCTCCTCCTCGTACTCGTCCTCGTCCTCGGCCGCCTCTTCTGTCTCAAGGCTCTTCACTTGCAGCAGTTCGACGGAAGCATCTGGGCCTTCCTGCTGCAAGGCGGTGTTCAGATCCGCCTCACAGCCACCCGCCTCACAGCTGTCGGTGCTGAAAGCACCCCACAGCTGGCAAAGGACCACCACCAGAAGCGCACTGCGCATGGCACCAGCGAAAGTGGACGGAAGTGCAAAGCCCGGACAAATGATTGCCCAGCGCTGACCGCTTTTGGGCGAGCTAGATTGCCTGATACAAAAAGTATTTCGGCACACGTGCAACATCAACTATGAGCCAACAAGCATGACCAAGTGGAAAGACAACGCAAAGAGCCTGCTCGTGTTGGGCAATGCTGAATGTCTTGAATGTCTAGCACGCACCATTGCTCCGACATCCCACCAAAAGTGTTCCGAAGACTCTGACAGACTGTTGTCTCTAGCCACACAGCGCCATGCCAACATGAGTCACAGGCTGCAATCTGAGGCTGCAGTCTCTATCTTATGCTGCGCACTCCGCCCTTATTTGCACTAGTAGGCACAATTTGCACTGTTGCGCTTTGGCCTCACCGCCAGCCCCTGGGTGCTTTGTACACAGTCGTGCCATGCCCCACGCCTCCCTTCACGCCAGGAGGGTTGTGCTTCACAACGGTGGTGCCATGCCCCACGTCACGCCAGGAGGGTTGTGGTGCACGTAGGTTCCTCCCAGATCTCCTACGTCTGGTCCCCTGCGGCGACCATCCCTGCGTCGGCCATCCCGGCGGCGCCCGTCGCCGTTCTTAGCCTCCGCCTCCTCCTCGTACTCGTCCTCGTCCTCGGCCGCCTCTTCTTCTCAAGGCTCTTCACTTGCAGCAGTTGCATCGCCTTCCTGCTGCAAGGCGGTGTTCAGATCCGCCTCACAGCCACCCGCCTCACAGCTGTCGGTGCTGAAAGCACCCCACAGCTTGCGCATGGCACCAGCACGGAAGTGCAAAGCCCGGACAAATGATTGCCCATGACCGCCCCACGCCGCCCTTCACGCCAGAGAGGAATGTTGTGCTTCACAACGGTGGTGCCATGCCCCACGCCCCCCTTCACGCCAGGAGGGTTGTGGTGCACGTAGGTTCCTCCCAGATCTCCTACGTCTGGTCCCCTGCGGCGGCCATCCCTGCGTCGGCCATCCCGGCGGCGCCCGTCGCCGTTCTTAGCCTCCGCCTCCTCCTCGTACTCGTCCTCGTCCTCGGCCGCCTCTTCTGTCTCAAGGCTCTTCACTTGCAGCAGTTCGACGGAAGCATCTGGGCCTTCCTGCTGCAAGGCGGTGTTCAGATCCGCCTCACAGCCGCCCGCCTCACAGCTGTCGGTGCTGAAAGCACCCCACAGCTGGCAAAGGACCGCCACCAGAAGCGCACTGCGCATGGCACCAGCGAAAGTGGACGGAAGTGCAAAGCCCGGACAAATGATTGCCCAGTGCTGACCGCTTTTGGGTGAGCTAGATTGCTTGAAAAAGGGGCGTATTTCGGCAAACGTGTAGCATCAGCTCTGAGACAACAAGCATGACCAGGTGGAAAGACGACACAAAGAGACTGCTCGTGTTGGGCAATACTGAATGTCTTTGGAACCTGGACACTGGTTACCATGCTCAGCAAAAGGGGTCTATGGGCCATATGGGTCCGAAGATCCCCACGGTACACAAACGAAATCAGGATGCAGGTACGGCGAGCGTGCCAGCTGATACCAGTGTCACATGCCCCAAGCCTCGAGATGTGTTTCGGTTTCGCATATCAAGCCTTGGGAAAGCCTGGCTCTTGCAATGCAAGTTAGCAGGGGTCAAACAGTGGCTATTCATGTGTTCCAGGCCTCGCCGACTTGACGACTCACTTCAAGCAAGGCTTCCCGAGTCGAACCGCATGCAGCTGCACTGGGGCTCGGGCCTCGAACTGATTCACCAGCGCCTCGCATTCGTTGAGGCAGCAAACCGCGAAGTACTCGGACGAGGCGATGCAGTTGGAAGGTCCCTGAAGATAGTTGGAGATGAGCACGTACTTCTGCTCATCCTCCTGCGCAACGATTCTGTTTCAGCACAAGCTCTTGACCAGAAAGCTGCCAATTTATATTTTTTCTCGAGAAAACCCTGTTCGCTGTTCAATCTCCCTCTCTCCTCCAGCAGGATGCCGGCGCTGCGCAGGTACTCCTCCTTCTCGGTGAACTGGAAGTGCGGGTACTTGGGCGACCCATGGAAGTCCTGCAGCAGCACGCGGCCGTCCGCCCCCATCTTCGTCAGGGTGGATTTCATGTCCTGGCACTCAGCGTTCTGCCACCTCAGGGGATGCCGCGTTTTCCTCATCGCTTCGGCCCTCATTGCAAAGGGAGCCTGGGCATGTCCGCTGTGCTCCATGAACCTTGGGCTACTTCAAATGCTCGTTGCTGACATGCGCCAAAGTCGAATGTCGTAGTTCTCGCAGAGATTCCCATGCCGTTGGCTAGCAGCCCGCATCAAAGGATCCACGACCAACCCTAGAAGCGCCGTGGCCAAAACATCGTGTGGGCCATGGAAACATCTTGTGGGCCACGGTTGTGCGACTCCCATCTTGCTTGGTCCGAGTTCACTTCTACAGGGTGGACCAACTCCCGCCTGCCGTACTGCCTGGCCAGGGACATCACGGCCTCCGTCGCCTGGGGCCAGGTGACTTTGCCGTCCTCGGATCGCAAGCGTTCCGGTGAGTCGTGTTGGTGCAAGCTCAAGCTCAAGCCCCCCCCCCCCAACACCACAGAGCACAAAGCTCACCAGCGCCGGCCATGTCCCACTTGCCGGGTCGCCGTTCGCTGGGTTTTGTTCAGCACCTCCGCCTCGAAGCCGCGCAGGGCCGGCCAGTCGGAGGACCTCTGCGCGCGCTGCTTCAGCGCCTGGTGCCGGGCCACGTCCTCCAAGTCCCGCGGCAGGCCGTGGCGGAAGAGCAGCAGATACCTAACTCGGTTACTCTCTGCTCACCTGCAAGTGACTAACCTTTAGTGGTTTGGCAAAAAGTGAAAGTCCTAACATCCAAGCAACATGCAACAAAGCTAAAATCCGTCCGGAGCGGACAGCCCAACGAAGACTCCAGGACTTCCCCCATGAACCAGCGGTCCAGTCAATCTTAGCCGTCAAAGACGAAGCAGTGACAGCCTGGCAGATGTCAGAAACAGCTGCAACTCATCACCTCCTATGTCGTCCAGCAGGGAAGACCGAACGCGACGCTCTCACTGGGATCAAGACTGTATACAACTTCGATCAGAATGCATGCCATTTTTTAAACCAAGCTCGAACCTCGGGATTCAAAGCGAATCTTCTTGATTCGTAGGGAAATGGGCCACGGGTTTCAAAATAGGAAGGTTGGCCAGAGTGGGGCTCAGGAAATGCGGGTTCCGTCCCCGATTTGTGTGGTTCAATGTGCTCATAGGTCCTGAACCACAAAAACTTGATTTGACCCCGGATTGGAGAAGAGGTTCGACTTGCCCCCAAAAGTGATCAGTCAAAAACAAAATGTGTTTCAATCAGGATGGATTCATCCCGGTTCTTGAAAGCTTTGTCGCCGGGCTGCGACTGGAGGGCCTCATGAGCTTGGGTCTCCTCCAAAGCAGGGGGCACATGCTCACCTGCCGTGTCCAGCTCGTTGAGCACGTACGAGGCCCGCAACAAGGGCAAGGACTCCTAGGCCAACTTCGGCTCCGCTTCGAATTGGCTATGGCTGCGCCTCAAAACAGGGGAACCCCTATGGCTGGCTTCTTTTGGTTCTCCATAAACTAACCGCAAAAGGGAGTGTTTTCACGAAAAGAACACAGAGCACACAACAATGGCCGCTGCGTTTTTCAGCTTCTACGGCTTCACCGTCCTCCAGCAGCAGCTGCTCCAAGGCGGCCACCTGAGGGCCGCAGAGGGTGCCGGGTGCCGTTTTGGGCCACTGGGGTGTGGCTTCCCGGTGAAACGGTTGCCCTGGAAAGTGGAACCAAGGACTGAAACCTGTGTAACCCCTCCTGTTTAATTTTGAGCCACACCCACTTCAAAAAGGGGCACTCGAAACACCCACCCAATCAGCTTCGATGGTTTTTCCGGGTGTTGCGGTTCTCTGCGACCTCCAAAGCCAGTTCAGGTTGCTGGTGACGTTGGAAATGGATGTGGCGATCTGGCTGGAGCGCATTCAGCAAACACATCCAAACACTTGCAAATAGAGTGCTGGTTTTAGATTCTGATGGTGAATCTTGAATCCGATTCTATGTGCAGTATTTCAACGCCTCAAAATTATGAAATCTACATCCTCTGGAGCCAAGTGCAATCCAAAACCCTCACAACAATTCGAAAAACCCATAACTCCAGGCAGTTGCTGCAGTCCTGCCTCACCGCCCAGGAAAACCAAAAGAAGCCAATCGAACTCCCCTGCCCTTGTTGTTCGATGCCCGGCATGAAAAGCCAAGCCCAGTTCGACTGGCCCCGTGCCGTCCATGCCCGGCCGTCTGGGCAACATCCGCCAGGGACAGGCCCTGCGAGCTGGACACCGGGCTGAGGGCCGCGTCCTTCAGCGCCGACGCCAACTCCGGCGCCTTCGCCTGAAAAGCAGACCGCGAAGGCCGTGAAGGCAGGCACTAAGTGGAAGTCCGAGGGGGAATTCCCACGTGTCTTTTTGCGGCCCATGTGCGTTTGGCACAAAACGGACGGAGCCTGAGAGCCCATACGGCCCTGGCCTGGAGCACGTGCGCCTGGTACAGGTCGCCCCCCTCTCCGGGCGCCGAGGCCGCCTCATAGGAGTCCCCCGGGGCGATGATCGGCGCCCCAGGCGACTCCAGGCCCCGCACCAGCCACCCGTGCTCCTGGCAGATCCACGTGGCCAAGGTGGGCCAAGTAAAAACCATATCGAATATCACGCTTAGATGCGTCTAGAGTCTGAAACGGGTCAAGGGAGCTGCCCATTGCAGGCTAAGAGGACCAAGCGTGCACAGAATGCGCCTTCTGTTCTAAGGGAAACATCTTCAAAAATAAGCCCATGAGGTTGGCTCCAGCACTCGCTGACCCACCCCGTGCTTCAAAACTCGGGAACCAACCACAACCACCACACCACATGACTAAACCAAAGGGGGAATTGCGCCATCTACTTTCACCCAACTCTAAGTGTCCTACTGTGGAAATTTGCCCAAACTAGGGTACCCCCGAAATGAATGGCTCTTTTTGTAGTTTGCCGATCAACCAAAACCGCAAACGCGTGCTCTTGGCCTCAAGCTCGATGCACCCTGGAGGAGGCATGCAGGTTACCGCATCCTTAACAAGTTGCCCGCTTCCCAGTGGGCAGGCTAGTCAGACATGCCATCGCTGTGGACGGCTTCGTCGAGGCTACTGACATCCAGCTCTACAGTGCCAAGCGCCGCACCAACATGGGTATGGGTCAAAATGAAACCACCAGGGGACCGCAGGTTTTGGTCCATGTTGCCAATTACCAGGGTTCCATTTGGGGTACCTATTTTTGACCCACAGCCACATGATCGAGGAGAATTCCCGTTTTCGCATCCCCAAGTGACCCGTTTCCCTCCTTGGCAAAGTAGGCGCGGGCCAGGGCCGGCAGAACCTGGTGCGGCGGCAGGTTGCCGCGGGCATCCTTGGGGAAGGCCTCGTAGCTCGGCCGCAGGCTCTCCTTCCGTTTTTGCCCCGGCGACATTTCACCAGTGTGGCTTTAAAAAGCACCTCTTGCCATTTGACGTGTCCTTTTGGATTCTTGGGGAATGCGCCGGCTTGTGTATGTTTTGCGGGGCAAGAAGGAAGATGAGCAACTGCGGCTTAACTTCCATCGAACCTATTGTGGCTCTTGCCTTCCTGGACACACACAGTCAAAAGGCTGGTATGAACCTACATGAGATTCAAAGGCTTCCTTCAGGAGCGGGCTGCATCAAATATGTATTTTCCACGCAGCCAGCAATGGTTTCGGCCACAAGTGGTATGGCGCTTCAAAACTGTCCGGTACCGTTGGTCAAGAGCTTCGGCGACGGCCAACTCCTCCACGAAGAGCACCCGCTCCGCCGGCACCTTGCGCAGCGCCTCGCGCAGCGCGCCCTGACGATCCATCCGGATGGCCGAATGCCGGGTCGGGCGAGGGCCCGGCCTTGGGCCCCGAAAACAAGCCAATTGCCGGTGGACTTGGTCTCCTCGTTTTAAGGGCAGCCGCTTTGGAGAATTGTTTTCAAGGGAATCCACCTGGGGTTCCTTATTGGGAGACGAATCCACATGGCTGTTTCCCTCTGCAAACAAGGCTGGTGGAACGCCTCGCCGCCGTGGAAGGCAAGCGAAACCACATTACAAGAACATCAACTGTCATCGCCCGTCCCCCACGCCTGCCACGTTCTCTCTCGCAGCCAATGATTCAGCAAAATGCATTTTATATGGGTTTTCGAAGGCAGATTCCCAAAAAGAAGTATTTCGCCTAGGCGAAACAAACGTTTAGCATCCCCTCCTCAAACGTCGAAAAGTTTTCGGACCTGTTTGCGCGCAGATATGACATGATACTCTTGAACGGGTGTGCCTATCATGTGCCAGCATGTGCGCACTTATGACACGATGCGCGTGAGCGGGTGTGCTTATAATGTGCCAGCATGTGTGCACTTACAACATGATACGCTGGAGCGGGCGTGCTTCACATTTGGCAGATATAACATGACGCGCTTGAGCCGGTGTGCTTACCATGTGCCAGCATGTGTGCACTTCTGACATGATGAGCGGGTGTGCTTATCATGTGCCAGCATGTGTGCACTTATGACGCGATGCGCGTGAGCGGGTGTGCTTATAATGTGCCAGCATGTGTGCACTTACAACATGATACGTTGGAGCGGGTGTGCTTAACATTTGGCCAGCATGCGCGCAGATATAACATGACGCGCTTGAGCCGGTGTGCTTATCATGTGTCAGCATGTGTGCACTTCTGACATGATGAGCGGGTGTGCTTATCATGTGCCAGCATGTGTGCACTTATGACGCGATGCGCGTGAGCGGGTGTGCTTAACATTTGGCCAGCATGCGCGCAGATATAACATGATGCGCTTGAGCGGGTGTGCATATCATGTGCCAGCATGTGTGCACTTCTGACATGATGAGCGGGTGTGCTTATCATGTGCCAGCATGTGTGCACTTATAACGCGATGCGCGTGAGCGGGTGTGCTTATCATGTGCCAGCACGTGTGCACTTATGACACGATGCGCGTGAGCGGATGTGCTTATCATGTGCCAGCATGTGCGCACTTATGACACGATGCGCGTGAGCGGCTGTGCTTATCATCTGCCACATGTGTGCACTTATGACACGATGCGCATGAGCGGCTGCGCTTATCATCTGCCAGCATGTGTGCACTTATGACACCATGCGCGTGAGCGGGTGTGCTTAACATTTGGCCAGCATGCGCGCAGATATGACGTGATACGCATGAGCGGGTGTGCCAAAAGTGAAGACAGTTGCACGGCGGCGAGGAGTCCCACCCTGCGCAAACAACCAGAAGGAACCCCGAGCAAAAATGGGTCCCCAACCACCAACGGGGGTGACTCAAATTTGGACAAGTGAAGTTCCATAAGGGCAGTGAACAATGTTGTTCCCTTGATGAATAAACCCACGAAGCTAAGACGGCACCCCCTCATAATGAGTTGGGGGGGGGGGGGTGATACAACCCCTGCAGACTAACATGGAGCCCAAAATATCCGCTTTTAGGAATTTCCTTTTTGGGGAATTCAATTTGCAGAGGAGTTTGTTGCTTTCTAGACCCCCCTTTTGAAGGGCGGCACCCCAAGGTCATCTTGCTGGGTTCCATGCACGTCACAATTCAAAACCTGGTACTACAGGGGTCTACCCAAAATCGCGTCAACAGTTGATGATCGGGACTGGCCCCGTACTTACCCGGGTTTCGATTGCGAATAAATCTGCAGAGGATTCTTCTTGGGTTGCCCTTAGAAGGCGGCGGCTATTTATGGTTGGGATTGTCCCTAACCTTCATCTACCCGAATCGGTTTTGATTGTGGCTCACCTAATCCTTTGGAGCCAGCCTGCAGCCGCTTCTCGCGGCCGCCCGAAGGGCCATTGGCGCGGCGCATGAGCTGGCCCCAGGCAGGCAGGAGCAGCAGCAGGAACCTGCAGGCGACGGAAGGCACCAGTTGAAAATCAAAGCGCGGGTGTTCCGAGAAAGGTTACAAATATGGTGATCTGCGGGCGCATTACCATCCAGGCGTACAGCAGGGGTTGGGGAGGGCGGGCTTCTTCGCATTGGAAGCCAAGCTCAACAACAAGTCAGTGCATCCCATGTGCCGCCGACTCGCGCTCGACAGAGCGGCCTCACAGTTGCCATCATGTTTTGCCTCAGCGTCCATTCCAATCCACATCCGACGCTGTCAAACCCTCAGGTGCCAGGCAGAATCAGGGCGGTGCCCTAAAGGACCTGACAGTTTAGAGAAGTTTTGAGCCTCGTGGCCGAGCAATGCACAGCTTGAGGCCTCACGCTGCGCAACCTATAGAACCACTTCGGTCCGGCATCGCGCTTCTTATGTGGTGCACGCTGATGTTTTCACTTCCTTGCGCTGCTCAATCTATCAACTTGTCACCTACAAAAGCTGCGGCCAGAATTCCAGACTCGCTTGGAACCATAACTGCCAGCAATGCGTTACATGTGTTAAATACACTGGTATCACTGCGTTGACTGTTGTACGTAATTGTTACATGTCGACTTTGTTGAGCGAATCCCTTTGAGCAATGCTCGCCATCCCTCACTCTCCGATGGCTCGCTGATCTTCGTCTCGGGCCTCGCCACCGAAGACCGTGCCGTGCAGGGCATCATAACCGGTAGGCCAGTTGATCATGCCCCCGCTGTTCCACACCTCGTTGCCCTTCTCAAGCAAGGCAAAATCAAAGACATCCTTCACATCGGGGTCGATGGGGTTGATCTCTGCACCCTCCTCTGGCAGCTCGTACAAGACTCTCACCAACATGAAGATCTGGTCGCACTCACCACATCGGTAGAGGAAGCCCTCCCGACAGCGGAACCAAAGGGGTACGTGCTCGTTGTCTCCCGTTCCTCCGGTGCATCCCACGATTCGCTCCGTGTGGATAGCAGGAACCAACACCGGGTTCTCAATGGTCCCGAAAGGTCCAATGAAAGGCGAGGACTTGAGGTACTCGTACAGCTCAATGATGCCGAGGATGTTCTCGGCAGGCTCATTCACAATGGTCAAGCCCATGTCGCGGCAAAGCTGCTTGTAGGACTTCTTTGGCAGGTTCTCGGGGTCCATGATGGTGCTCTCTGCGCGAATCCTCCAGTACCAGTAGGCATCAAGGAAGCCAAGGTTGTATGGATTGCTCGACATCAGCGACTTCACATCCTTCGGCATGGACTCTGAGTTCAGCTCAAAGTCCTCTGGCAACACACGCCACCAATGGCGGTAGCCACGCCTGGCCTCCAGCTGACATGCAGCTGTTGCGCTCTGCCAGACCTTTGGGGTCACCCTGGCTGCCCCACCCAACACGCGACGGGCGGCACCGAGCATTGCTGTGGCACCTACCAGAGGAGCTGGACAGGAGAGCCAGCTGCGGAAAGGGAACATGCATAAGATGCTGGCATTCTCTGCTTGCCGCGAGACTGTCATGGCAGATTTGATTCATGCTCACATTGGCCAACGGGAAGTTGTGACACTTCTTGATATTGCACCCTGCGAGCACGCTCTTTCAAACGCATCCCTTTGCCTTGCATGTTTCCGCTTCATCGCAACACAAAAACTATCCACCAGGAGACGCTGCAAAGTAGGTTCAGGGAAATGAAAGGGTTCAGGAGCATCACTCAAGAAATATCCTAGCAAGGTTCTCACAGTCGCGAAGGGTCCTTTGGATCAAACATAGCAGTCATCCGCCTCACTCTCCGATGGCTCTCTGATCTTCGTCTCGGGCCTCGCCACCGAAGACCGTGCCGTGCAGGGCATCATAACCGGTAGGCCAGTTGATCATGCCCCCGCTGTTCCACACCTCGTTGCCCTTCTCAAGCAAGGCAAAATCAAAGACATCCTTCACATCGGGGTCGATGGGGTTGATCTCAGCACCCTCCTCTGGCAGCTCGTACAAGACTCTCACCAACATGAAGATCTGGTCGCACTCACCACATCGGTAGAGGAAGCCCTCCCGACAGCGGAACCAAAGGGGTACATGCTCGTTGTCTCCCGTTCCTCCGGTGCATCCCACGATTCGCTCCGTGTGGATAGCAGGAACCAACACCGGGTTCTCAATGGTCCCGAAAGGTCCAATGAAAGGCGAGGACTTGAGGTACTCGTACAGCTCAATGATGCCGAGGATGTTCTCGGCAGGCTCATTCACAATGGTCAAGCCCATGTCGCGGCAAAGCTGCTTGTAGGACTTCTTCGGCAGGTTCTCGGGGTCCATGATGGTGCTCTCTGCGCGAATCCTCCAGTACCAGTAGGCATCAAGGAAGCCAAGGTTGTATGGATTGCTCGACATCAGCGACTTCACATCCTTCGGCATGGACTCTGAGTTCAGCTCAAAGTCCTCTGGCAACACACGCCACCAATGGCGGTAGCCACGCCTGGCCTCCAGCTGACATGCAGCTGTTGCGCTCTGCCAGACCTTTGGGGTCACCCTGGCTGCCCCACCCAACACGCGACGGGCGGCACCGAGCATTGCTGTCGCGGCCTCGATCCCAGGGGAAGTGGCACAGCTGCGGCAGCCAAGGCGCTTTGCTTGCGGGCTTCTACTTCACATCGTATTTTGCTTTCTCAGTATACCACTTTTTCATACCATCAATGATTTCTTCACTTATCTGCTAGCAAAGGCACTGTCCCCCCAAAGCACTTGCTCGGCGCTTCATTTTCGCTCACAGCTCCAGGCCCCTCTGCCTGTCTGTGGCCTGGCCACTTCGCTGTTCAAAATGGACACCCTTGAGGCACAGATTTGACCCAGGATGATACATGACTGTGCCCAATGTCACCCATGTCACGGATTGCAAAGCATAGTCAAGGCGCACCGCGAGGCCTTCTTGCACTTTGTGGGCTTCTTCCCACCCTTCTGCACTTTGCCCAGGTGGCCCTGCGCACAAAAACGCATAGCTGGCGGCGCCTGTCGTTTTGCGGTGTGAAGCAAGCTTCTCAATTCATCTCGCGCAACGTGCGAAGCTAAGGCATTTGGCCATGGGTCATAATCCCGCACCCCCAGTGAACATCCCAAACCCCACAAAAATAGACTATAATGGGTGGTGCACCTACCCCAAAAAAAGGTACCATTGGTTTTAACCCACGGCCATTTCAGTTCCCTCCTTCTTCGGCTCATAGCCCCAGCTGCAGTCCGCGAAGGTCGTGGGCTGGGCGAAAGCACTGCGCGGCCCCTAACATGTGCATCCCGGGCCTCAAATGTTGGAACTCTTTGAGGATTTTTGTTTTTTTCTGGGGTCGGCCATCGAAAAGTCGAGCTTCCGAAGTGCTGGAGCTTAATGAGTGTGCTTGCTTTGAGGATGCAGGCGCTGTGCGTGACTCGCAGCGCACAAATAATGAGCTCTCCGGACTTTCGCGGGGTCCATCTTTCGGGAGAGAGAAAGAGCGAGAGGGATAAAAGGAGCGGGCTCAAAACTATAGTCCACTATTTGCAGCCAGCTACTCCACAAAGAAATTGAAACCGAAAAGCTGTCAGCTTTTGATGATCGACCCACAAACGCAGGGGGTGCCACATCCGAATTCATGCACCTCAGTTCTCGTGCTCTCTGGCTTTTTCTTAGCTTTCTCGCCCGCAGTGCATGCATTCTCAAGGACACGCTCACTTTGTGCCAGCAGGGAAGTTTCTGAGCTTACTCTGGACGATTTTTCCCCAAACCAGCGATTCGGCCGGCATTCCCCGCTCGCGCTTCTTCCCGTTTCGCGCTTCCCCCCAGCTCGGGGCCCCGGGGCCGCGCCCCAGCCCCGGACTTGCAGCTCTCGGCGTCGAAGGCAGCTGGGCGCCAGTACCTACGCGCGAGAAAAATGCGGGAAATGGCCTTTAACCATAGGCGTCCTTTGAGGGGAAATAGATGGCCCTGGTAGATGATTAAACCACCAGGTAAACCTAGCGAGTCAACCAAAAAGGACACCTATGCCTTTCACTCTTTGCCCAGAAATGGGGGAGGGCCCTGAATAGATGGACCCCAAATGAGTCATAATCAAAACCCGGTATTAAAATGGTCTACCCAGAACCATGTGAAGACTTAAGAAGGCGGCCGCAGCTACTTATGGTTGGGATTGTCCCTTACTAACCTTCATCTACCCCGGCTTTGATTGAGGCTCAAATGACTCAACGCCTAACTATGAGGACTGACCTCCCTTTAGAACATTGCGACGGATGACTTTGCATCAGCAGACTGAATGAGCTGAGCTTCGTTTACAGGTTGTGCAAGGCATACAGAAAAAAATGGCTGGTGATACGCTATCCAGGTGAAGCGCTTTCCACCTCCTCAGGAGGACTAGCTAAAGCATGAGAAAGGCGTAAGGTTGAGTTGGCGTGTTGGTATGGATGCTTTTTCCAGACGTTCTTGATAAGCCGCTGTACTAGGGGCCTATACATGTGCCCATGTTCATAAGTGCCACAATTTGTTGAAAGGCAACTATCAGAACTGTGCCGCTCAAAGGAGGCCTGTACAGGTTGTACACGTTGCGAAAAATGCATCCTCAGTCGAGGAAATACATCGCATACGTGTATTAATATTGTCACTTTTGTGACTACGCAACCTCTCTGGCTTAGAAGCCAGAGTTGAGTTGGGACGAAAGCGTTCCGTCATTGAAGTAATTGATGCGAATGAATCGCCTCCGCTGCTGGGGGGGAAACGGAAGGCGTCCATGCAGCACGGCTGTGTTATCCATCACTAGCACCTGACCTGGCTGAAGCTTCACAGTCAGTCGATAATCCTCGGTCTTCACAAAGTCTTCACAAAAGCGATAGCCAGGCGAGGCCTCTTGTGTGGTGCTGCTGACGTAGGGATCCTGGCTGCGGTACCGAACTTGCACGTGAGAGCCACTCGAACCAAAGATTGGAAAAGTGCAGCAGTGGATTTTGCTTCCAGGAAGCGCCCGCCCAACTGAGAGGCAGGGGGCACGCAACGCGGCCATCTCGCACTCAGTGAGACGTTGCTGGGCCATGTCATGCATCATCTTGCCAGAGATCACCACGCTTTCGCCCCCCTCACTCGCAGCGATGTCGCACTGCAGCGTGATGATCTTTCCAAAAGCATCGGTGTAAGTCTCGTCGGTATGCACCTGGTGCTCGGCCTCAGTGTCCCGCACGTTGTTGCTGGCACGCTCAGCCTGGGGATCCAGAAACACTCGACCATCGGAGTCGGCAAACTCATGGGGCACAATGCTGCCGAACAGGTCCTTGAGCTCTCTGAGATCACAAGTCTCGGAAGTGTCGCAACTCAAAACGCAAAGACCATATGTGTTGTAGGCTCTGAGGAACTTCTGTTGCTCTTCGCCAGAAATGGCAATGTCTCCACACTTGCACACAGGCACCAGAATCTCTGTCAGTGGCAGCCCAGCATCGAAGGCCTTCCTCTCTGAAGCAATGACTTTGCAGTCTGGGCCCTTCGCGTGTGTTGGCACCTGGCCTGGCACGCACTGCATGTTGCGTCTCGCTCCATGCCCGAAGAGGCTTTTCAGCTTCCCGACATACACTGCAGTCAAAGGAGCGCTGAAGAGGAGTAGGGACGTTGTGAGCATCGCAATGACGAGGACCCAATCAAGGTGTGTAGGAATTCCAGAAATCTTGCCCGAGAGAGCCCACAGGTTCGTCTGAGGCAACATTGCAGGATGGATGGGATCCTATCACTTCCGTTCTCAAGTTGCGAGAACAATATTCAAGCCAAAACGGCTGGTATGGAAAGCGCTTTCCTCCCCGCAAGCCGAAGGTACATCTTTGCGAGCGCGGAGGCAAGACCCGGCTTTATGGCTTCCTGTCTCCGACTTCGCATCTCAAGCGCCATGCACGGTGTTCGGCAATGCGCTGCTGGGCCCTGCGCGTGACTCACAAGTTACCCGTTTGATTTGCAAAGGAAGGTTCAAAGCTTGGACAAGCGCGGCCCCACACCAAGGGGTCTACCTTCCGGGCCGCACCAAACGTGCACGTTGATGGAGCGCCCAGGTTTCGCTGTGACCTGGTGATACCTGGAGTCTGGCAATCTCGACACAGAAAATGCCATGTGCTCCAAACAGCTAAAACAAACTTGAACTTGAAGACTGGTCAGCCAGCAGAACCTCCGCCATCTTTGACCTCACATCCTGCATCCTGGCCCTAAGGCTCCGGCCACTGGTAAGGGATGTATATACCTTGGTGCTCGCAAAATAGAAACAGGACCTGGGTGGATAAGTGGGTGGGTCCTGGGTGGGTGGATAGGAGGGCAGGGCTTTGTCTCGGGGCAAGACCTCAAGAGCCAAGAGGCAGTCTCCAGGTCTGAGATCCGCGTAGCTCCACTTCACATCGCGCCAGCCTGGGTACCTACAGCAAGTGACTACTTTGAGTGAAAGCAATAGATCCATAGCAAAAGACAATTTACCCTGCAGGTAGACCCGTTTGTTTGTGCCAAATGTTCACTCCCATGCAGAAAGTTGGTCACTTGATGAGATCCACTTTGTCCACATCGATTCTCATGAAGGCACCATAACCAGGGATTGACCTGCAAAGCACCAAGGACATGGGAAAAAATGGCCTTGGCCAGCAGAAGCTGTCGAAAAGCATTCAGAGTGAGAGAGAGGCAGAGCAAAGAGAGAGAGAGAGAGAGAGAGAGAGCCAAAAGAGAGAGAGAGAGAGATAGAGAGCAAAAAGAGAAAGAGAGAGAGAGCAAAAAGAGAGAGAGAGAGAGAGAGAGAAAGAGCAAAGAGAGAGAGAGAGAGAGAGAGAGAGACAGAGCAAAAAGAGAGAGAGAGAGAGAGAGAGCAAAAAAAGAGAGCGAGAGAGAGCAAAAAGAGAGAGAGAGAGAGAGAGAGCAAAAAAAGAGAGCGAGAGAGAGCAAAAAGAGAGAGAGAGAGAGAGAGAGAGAGAGAGAGAGCAAAGAGAGAGAGAGAGAGAGGAAAAAAAAGAGAGCGAGAGAGAGAGAGAGACAAAAAAAGAGAGAGAGAGAGAGCAAAAAGAGAGAGAGAGAGAGAGAAAAAAAAAAAAAAAAAGAAGAAAGAGAAAAGAAGAAAAAGAAAAGAAGAAAAAAAGAGCGAGAGAGAGAGAGAGAGGGGCAGGGATCACGAGGGCGGCACCATGTTTTTTTCTCCGGAGCTCCCTTTGGAGCGATTGCGAGAAGCACTGACGCTTGGAGAAGCGCTGACCCTTGCCAGTGGCCTTACAGCCAGCTCTCGGCCTCGGCCAAACCTTTGCCCCTGGCTGATGAAGAGGGCAATTCCACGGGCCGACGAGGGGCAAACCGTTTCATCAGCCAAGGGGTTAGGGCTCTTTCCTGCCCAACGCTTCACAGCTTGTTCGCAAAGTCCTTGAACTCATCCGCTGCCGCCTGATCCGCATGTATAACCCTTTGCCCTGCATGGTGGCCCTGCGTAGATATATATATATATATATATTATATATAGAAGTATACACTTAGCTATTTTGATATATTTACACCATATCTCTGTCACTACCCACATACAATCATCGCTTTTGGATGAGATTGGACAGTCACACAGCCCGTCCAGCACCCCCCGCCTTTGCCGCAGCTGTCAGCATTTGCATGTCACTCCCCACAGCCACAAAATGGCACCCACACCTGGAGTTGAACCCTCATGCGACAAAGTAAGCACTGCAATTCGAGATACAGGACGAATTCTCAAGTATGCAAACCAAAGTGGTCCTTTTATTGGCAAAGTGTAGGAGGCAGCTGGACAGGTCCAATGGACAGGTCCAAAATGTCTCCAAGAGCCAGGCTTCAAGGCCCACTTGGCGTCATCCTTGTTGGCCGTGAGGAAGCCAGCAGCCTGTGACTCACCGCTTGCGACTCGCCGCAGTCGGGCCTTCTTCGTCCGGCCTTGCCCGTGGCCACGATCCGAGCGAAGGCTTGCTCAATCATCGCCCTGACCTGCCACGAAACGGGGCACCCGACTCTCGCCGCGACGAAACAAGGTGGGTGTTTCTCAAAGCAGGGTCCCCTAATATGGTTGGTTTCCTTTTGGTTTCCCTCTGCCAACCAACCAAACGAGGGGTCCACCGTTTTCAGAAGTTGCGTGCCTCTGGATGCTGGGGTTGGCCAATGAAGCCTCCGCCGAACGCTTAAGAGCAACGCTTGACCAAGCAAAAGCCGTGGCAGGCTGCCGCACACGTGAGAGCGCTCAGTATGGGATATTGAGCTCTGTGATATTGAGTCATTGTCAAATGGGCTCCCACACCTGCCCTTCTTAGGTTCAAAAATCCCACCAAGGAAACCACCAACCCAAATATGGGCATGCTTCAACAATGGGGGGGGGGCCCAACCATGCCCAACCTTTACAGCCAAGTTTTAAACAAAAATGCTAAGCTGCTACCCCCAAAAGCCTTGCCCCCCGCCCCCCCAACGGAGGTATGAGGTTGGCTCCCGACCCAACTCGAGCAAGGCCCCGGCCCATGGAGGCCGACAGGTCGCTGGGGCCCACGAAGAGCGCATCCACGCCCTCCACCGCGGCGATGGCCTGAACCGGCGGTCAATTGGGCGCTTTGTTGAGGGAACCCTTTTTGGGGTAAGGGAAACCTCAGGGAAATCAATCATTCCAATTGGGTCTGAAGAGAACTTGTTGCCATCCAAATAACATCCAGCGGAGCAGAGGGTAAGGACGCGTGAGAGGTGCTCGTTTGCGACTGCGCCCGTTGCGCTTCAGTTCTTAGCACCGACATCCTCCCTGCCCCGACGCGGGCACGTGGGCGGGGGCCTCGATGTTGTCCACAGCCTGGCGGCCGAGTCAAAAGCTCTGGCCGCGAGCGACTTTGGCGTGAACGGGCCTCCATGGTCTCGATCTGCACAATGTTACCTCCAGACAAGACAAAAAGAGCAACAGATGTTTCAAATCTCAAAAAAAATGTGAATCAAGAGCATATCATCCTTTTCTGCATGCTCGCAGCTCAACATGGTTTGTCTCTTGTGAGCGGGGCAGCAAATCAGGTAAGAGCTCCCTTGCCAGAGGTATTCAGCGAATGTAGTGTCTGAAAATGTCCTGACTACTGACCATGGCAAATGCGGCTTGGCGGCAGATCTGCCCCGCTGCCTCCTGGCACAATCATTTCTTGCCCATCTGCAGTCTGAACGCAAAGCAAGAAAAACACCCAATGGCCTTGTAGTAGTGGGGGTTCTGGGCACCGTAGTTGTTCATGCGCGCCAAGCTCATGACCTGAGCTGCAAACATGCGCCATCGTTCCTTTCACACAGCTGAGCCCAGTGGCTCCACGGATGCCGCCGAGCCCGGGGTACTGCGTTGCCTCCGCTCGACGCATAAACCGCGGCCGCGCGCAGCGCGCCGCCACAGCTGTTGGCTCCCGCCTCTACTGCCAGCTTCGCCTGCTCGGGCGTGTTGATCCAGGGAAAGATCAAGCCTCAAGGACTGAGAAATCCGTCTAAGCTGCTTCCACCACTCCGCAGCGACAAGAGAGCAGAAGTGTTGTCAAAATGATTGGTCGGACAAAGCCAACAGCCATGTTGCCAGCAAACTCCAATTTTTCAATGAATTCATGTCAGTGATTCTCAATCCTCTTGATTCACAACAAGTAGCTATGAGCCCAATCTCATTCATCTTAGCTTACAAAAACTTCCGCGCACAGTGCCTCACTGCAGTGCGTATCAACCTGGGGTTTGATTCCCCGGCCAACAGGAATTCTGGCGCTACGTGGTGCAAGCAGCTGAAGACCCACAGGCGTGACTCGGGGAAATGCCTCCGAATCACAAGAGCAACAAGCCCATCTCCAAGTAGGGTTGAACCCCCCCTACCTCCCCCTACCTCCCCCTCCCCCCTCAGAGCCAACTCAAGGCCACCCTCTTCCCCAAAGCCCCGTGCCGCGAAGCCGAAGCGAACCGAAAGCGAGGCGCTCTGCGCGCCCAGGTCCAGCACTCGCTTCACCACCACCGGCTCCGCCCAGGGCACCCGCACCACCGGCTCCGCGGAGCCCCTCTGCGAGGCCTCCGTGAAAACTGAAACGACAGGCCCATGGCTTGGCTCAACCAAACCGGGCTGTGAATAGTTGGGTTAGAATCCGGAAGAAAAACCCAAGAGTGGTCCCCTTGGCTTTTGTGGATTCTTTGGGTGCTCCCCCCTTCTCGTGCTCCCCAAGCCAACAGTAGACTACCAATAGCTTTGCCGGTGACTCAGGTGAAGCCCCAAGCGAAGAAAACACACCCAGTTTCGGAAGGGAAGCTGGGCCTATTCTGAATGTATGTATATATATATATATACACATACATACACGGTCCCGTGTTCCGTGTTGCTACCCCCCCCCATATGGTATGGGTCCCCCAGAATCCCTTCCCGGCCCGAGACCCCTAGCCCCCGGATCCCTACGGTCCCACCCCCACCCCGACCCCCTGAACTCGCACCCCGACAGCCCGGCACCCCCACCCCCAGGACAAGCCAACCCGCAACCCACCATATACCAAAACTAAACTAACCGTAAACCAACCCTAAATACACCCTAAACCAACCCTAAACCGTAGACCTCTAAACCTAAACCAACCCTAAGTCAACATAAACCAACCCTAAATTAACCCTAAACCAACCCTAAACTAACCCAAATACACCCTAAACCAAACCCTAAACAGTAAACCCTAACCTAAACCAACCCTAAACCAACCCTAAACCAACCCTAAACAAACCCTGAACCAACCCTAAATACACCTAAACCAAACCCTAAACCAAACCCTAAACCAAACCCTAAACCGTACACCTCTAAACCTAAACCAACCCTAAACCAACCCTAAGTCAACATAAACCAACCCTAAACCAACCCTAAACTAACCCTAAATTCACCCTAAATATACCCTAAACCGATTCTAAACCAACCCTAAACCACCACAACCCAACCACAGGACCACAACCACAGGGGGGGGCGGGGTACTTGTCTGACCGGGACCTATGACCATTGGGGGGGGGGGAGCTGGCAACGCTGCACCATATATAAGAAGAAAAATCGGATAGACCAAAGCACGCTGCTAGTTTGTCCGTAAGGAGTTGGAAGGCTTCGGTCGAACCAAAGAGCGACCCAAGGTTCGGCTGTCCGGTGGGAATCCCTTTGTTTGTTCAACCTTCAGGGATCCACAACCATACCGATAGTTACCAAGATCGGGTGCAAATGGGCAAAGGGTACGTGAAAAGAAGAAAAAAAACGGCGGTGTGAAGTCCCCCCATGCAGAAACTGGGCGACACAGGAGCAAACCACAAGACTGCAATCAAAGGCAAGCTTTGAATTGCATGCTTCTTTCCGATTGCTAGCGGAAGGACCCATGTGCCTGCAGCTGCAGCAGCACATCGTTGAGCTCGTTTGGCGAGTGCTCCATGTCAATGACGAACCAGTCCTATCTCGCCATTGGCACGAAAGTTTCCGTTGCTGTCGGTCGAACTTCCGGACCCAAGGAGTTGCTCTTAAAGCTGCAGAACCCAGGCGACTCTCCAAACCAGCTTCGCTTCATTCTGTCCATGCCGGAGGCGTGGGAGAGCATCTCTGCAACCAGCCTAGGGCTGAGCTATGCTGGATCCGAGGGAAACCCATGCATCAATCACGCACCTGAAGAAACGCTGGTGATCGGTGATCCATGAGGCAGCTGGATATGTGAAGCTTTGTCCGCTATGACTTGTTCCAATACGGACACGTCTCCAAGACACGCATGGGCAGATCGGCCGCAGTTTTATCACTGCCCTGAGTTAGGCACGTGCTCCGGATGCCCGTCCAAAGGCCGATCTGCGGCCGGTCGTTCTTCAGCATCTAGGCAGGCCACATCTGGAAAAAAAACAAACATAAAAACGAAAACATAGTGTAACCGGGCCTTCTTGAAAAGGTTCTCGCGGACCTGACATGTATCAGAGAACCTTTTGGTCAAAGTACGGCCAAACCGGCGATTCCCCAAAGCCTTGCTGGGGTCCGGGTAGGTCACGTAGCGCCGAGCACTCAGCACCTGCCGCGGACTGGACACTTTACGGGTTCAACCCACGCCAGGATGCCCGTTGCCAACAGCATCGTGTCCTGTGAGAATAACCTGACCAAGTGTTCCGCTTTACCAGCATTGCGCTTGAACCAGTTTGCGTAGCGGCCTTGTCTGGGGGTCGAACCGCTCTGGGGCAGCCATAAAGCCACAAGATGGGGCTTACCGAGTCAGCCGTTGCATGGCAGCCCGGCCTTGCAAACGGAGACTGGCAAGCATCTTGGGCGAAGAGCGCGCGCCGCCAGCATGTCTGCCTGCGGAAATGAGCAAAAACCATTTTGCAAGACGCTGCTGGGTCATGACAAGACAAAAACCTGCAATCTGCCTGGGGGACAACCAGCGGCCAACAAAATGCCAAGGAAAAAGGCAACGGCCGTGCTTGAAAAGCTGCCTTCCATGTTTTTATTGCAGTAAGCTATGCCAAGTTGATATGTTCTTTCTGCCTGTGTCTTGAGCAACGGCGGCTGCATCACATTCGAGCACATCTCTTCTTCTTCTGTAGCATCCGGCGCTCCCTGCTTTTATCCAGAATGGAGAGCGGTCCAATCAGCAAGCAAGTGCAGCGCTGGGCAGTTCGATCGAACGAGCGCCCGGGCCTGTCCAAATCCGTGTCCACCCAGCCGAAGCGGTTCTTTGCGCTATTTGGGTGTGCCTCGGAATTTTAGCAAAAGGGCCAACCAGCAACGCGCCAGGTACCGTACCTTTTTCTGGGTCTGCATGTCGCTTTTTTGGGCCCAGCCTCGAAGTCTTTCTTGTAAGACGGGTGCATGAAGACAAATCGCTTCTCACCCGCCAGCATGCAATTGATGTTGTCCTTCGCAAGCGACGCACGGCCATGTCCGCCTGCCATGGAGACGGGGCCTGGTCGTCGTAGTGGACCTGCGAGCTACGCTTGGTTTCGATGGGCTTCACCCGTCCTGACCCTCTTGAAAGGCTGCAAACGGTTTTCCTCCAGAACAGGTCGCGGCTCAAGCGATGTGCAACTGAGGGGCAACCGACTTGCTGCCCCCTCGACCCATCCAGAAGTTTTGGGTGTCCAAGAATCTCAAATACCTGAGCGGTGGAATCACGGACAAACAGTGACTGCATGGCTCTGATGTTTGCACAAGCGCACCCGCCGCACTCCATACATCGGAGAAACTCCACCTCCTTCATCATTTTCTTTGGCACCTCTGTGAAAGCTCGTGTTGGGCAATGCGACAAAGAAACACCAAGCTTGCCCCCGGGCCCGCAGGAACGCGAATTCGTACACCAACACCAAAGGAAACGGCATTGGAGACCATGTAGATGTCTGAGTTGTTGTACCTCACGCAAGGAGCCATAGGACTTCAGAACGCACGTCTGGAGTCTTCCTTGGGCACTGCCCAACATGATAGGAAGTACTTAGGCGTCAACAGTAGTGACGCCCCAAAAGGGCTGGTGTCGTGCTGGTTCCCTGGTAGAACCGTCCAGGTGCCTCTAGCTTTGATGCCCAAGCTTGGGAGCGCTGGCTCACGCGTTCAGGAAGTCCCCGAAGGTGTTCATGCCATCCACCTCATACACAAGAGCAAAGCTTGAGCAAAACAAAGGAACTGGTGGGCAAAACTGGGAAGAAGCTATGACTGTTGAACTGGTGCCCAGTGAAAACTGGGAGAAAAGCTATGATCGTTTTCCAATTTCAAGAGTTTGTCGTGCCAGAAATTCCATGGCTTTAGCACCATAAAGCCCCAAGAAACACATATGACATAATATGGCTGCTTCTCAAAAGTGGGCTCCTACCCATTCCCGCCACCTTTTCAAACTTCCAATGTTTTGCGACGACCAGTTTCCTTTCAGCCAGGATCCAACCCACAGACTTCGGGCGAACCGAGAAGCGAAGCCCCGGTCGGGCCTGACCTCCGGCTCGGGTCTCCTTCAGGTTGTGCTCCACGCCGGTGACGCGCTGGGAGCCGAACCTCCGCTTGGACTTGAACCAGCTTGCGCTCATGGTTGGGAGGTGAGAGGTCCAAGCCACTGATCCAAACCACCAGCTAGCTAGGGGCTGACTTTGGGAGATATACGGAAACCAAAGGAAGACCCATCGTTTTCGGGTGCCCAATCTTTCCAAACACCCAAGATGATTCAGATTGAGGTGTGCATCGCGAAGCCCAAGCTCCCACCAGCTCAAGCCGTTTTTTTGTGGGCAACATATCACAGAATTTAGCTGGCCACAGAGAATGCTGGAAAGCTCCGTCATACTATAGCCATACTTAACTTCCCTGCAAGAGAACGCTGGCATGGAATGCAGTGCTGACAAATCTGGCACACACTGGTGACACATCCAGCCCATTGGCAGCGGTCCAAATGCAAGTTGCCCAACTCAGGCAACAAGTAGCCCAACACATCATTGAGTCTTTCTGAACCTATCTATATATATATATATACAAGTGCTCATGAGATTGCGTATGCACTGCTGAATTTGAAGGCAAACAGAAACAAACCGCTTTTGGCTACCATTCATATCGTATTTTATGCATATTGCCGCCAGGCTTCCTCCACAGGAGATCTTCGTCGTCGGTCCACTTGATGGCCTTCCAGCTGGCCGCGGCCCCGCGGAAGACCACGGGTCTGACGTCGGGCGACTTCAGGCTGGGGGCTTCGGCCGCTTCGGCCACTCGCCGCATACCCTCCCACCAGCTAACATGGGTTTGTGCACAGACTGTAGAAAGACTTTCCTCTTAGTTGGCCCTTTTGCACTTCCATCTTGGTGGGAGATCAAAGTGCAAATCTCACGAGACCTGGCCTCCCATGGCCTCCGTCCGAGGTGCAGTACCTGGCGCTGAGACACCGGCGCGCTTGCAGCACATGCCACACAGCGCACTCGGTGTAGAAATCCTCCGGGTCCGGCACGTCGCCCCTCTCCTCAAAAAACAAGAAACAGAAGTGGATCCCCTGGACATGGAACGGGCCTCATGCCGTCAGTGAGACGCGCGCCACTTGCTGTTACTTTTGGCTCGCTGCCAAACTGAATCTGCGGGGTCTCCGCGAGCGGGCTCTGAGCGCCCAGAACGCACATGCCTGTCCACAGAAACAACCGACGTTGGATGTGTCTGTGCGTTCAGGGAAAGCCCAAGTAATGCGATTTGGTGTGTGATGGGTCCCCTCTCCTGACACATGGGAGGGCCAGTTTTGGCTCAAAGTGCGTCCGGGTCTTAAGCTCATCGCGGTGAAACTGACGGAAGACATCAGCAAGCGGCACAGGCCTTGCAGACAGGTTCCAGTGGAAACCTCAAATAATACAGCCCAGCGGAATTCTCCACCGTGTTGTCGAATGATAGCCCGTGGAGCAACCATGTTGAGTGCTCACTGTAGAAGCCAGCATGCCCTGCAACAAAGACCCCAACTTGAGTATGGACAAAAAACATGTTTGAGCAGTGCTCAGAATGCTTCTCGTGTTCTGCCGCATCTCTTTTTATGACCCACGCTTGAGGCAGTCTCACGCATTAGCTACGGCTGGAAAGCCACACGACTACGGCACTTTGGAGGCTGCCCATCGCCCTTGGACGGCAAGACCCCGAAACAGCCGAATTAGAAGCAGAAGCCTGAAACTCAGCTTCTTTGTCCGCCGAGGGAGCTCGAGTCTTCAACTTTGTAACGAAAAGGAGATGAGCTGAGAAGATCAATATGTTTTTTGATTGTCCAGCTCCTTCAAGCCTCGCTTGGAAGCCATGCACTGCGCCCCGGTGCAGAAGTGCCCCGTGCCCCCAATTGGGGCCAAGAGCCGGGCCCCGTTTGAGGTGACTGGGGCGGTTGCCAGCAAGCTCAAATGGGCTTGGAGTTTGATCCTGTCTCAAACTCGGCTGAAAAATGGTATCGCGCAAGACGCGGTCCGAGTTCGAGGCAAAAATAAGAACGACACCTAGGAACATGCAGAATGCAACTCTGAGACTCTGTTCCGCTTAGCTTGGCCTGGCGAAACTTGCAGGGCGTGCGCCCAACTTGGATAGCTTAGCTGGCCGGTCCGAGGTGCTTTCAGCATTTCCAAATGTCCGAACCGTTTTGCAGATACGAACCGCATCAAGGCATATAGATCTCCATCCTGTCTTTGATGTCGCCCCGGCAAATGGGACACGCGCAGCGGTCGTAGGCTTGCCTGCCCACAGTGCGCACTGAACGCCATGGCCGTGAAAGCGCAGACTGGGATATACATGATACACATACTACATTGCATGACTTTGCATTGCACTGCATTGCATTGCATACAAGCACGCAGACAGACACACAGACAGACATACGTACGTACATACATGCAAACATACATGACATGACATGACATGACATGACATGACATACCATTACAATGCATTGCATTGCATTGCATTGCATTTGCATTGCAATGCATTACACTACATCACATTACATTACGTTACGTTACGTTACATTACATACATACATACGTACATGCATACATGCATACATACATACATTAGATTGCATTGCATTGCATTACATTACATTACATTACATCACGTCACATTGCATTACATATATATAGACATACATACATTGCATATTTACACTTACACTAGAGTAAATTACAGTGCATTACATTACATTACATTACATACATACATACATGCATACATTACATACTTTACATACATTACATACAATACAATACAATACAATACAATACAATACAATACAATACAATACAATACAATACAATACAATACAATACAATACATACATACATTACATACATACATACATACACACATACATACATACATACATACATACATTACATACATACATACATACATACATACATACATACATACATACATACATACATACATACATACATACATACATACATACATACACATACATACATACATACATACATACATACATACATACATACATACATACATACATACATACATACATACATTACATTACATACATACATACATACATACATACATACATACATACATACATACATACATACATACATACATACATACATACATACATACATACATACATACATACATACATACATACATACATACATACATACATACATACATACATACATACATACATACACATACATACATATACATACATACATACATACATACATACATACATACATACATACATACATACATACATACATACATACATACATACATACATACATACATACATACATACATACATACATACATACATACATACATACATACATACATACATACATACATACATACATACATACATACATACATACATACATACATACATACATACATTACATTACATTACATACATTACATTACATTACATACATACATACATACATACATACATACATACATACATACATACATACATACATACATACATACATTACATACATTACATACATACATACATTACATACATTACATACATTACATACATACATACATACATACATACATACATACATACATTACATACATACATACATACATACATACATACATACATACATACATACATACATACATACATACATACATACATACATACATACATACATACATACATACATACATACATACATACATACATACATACATACATACATACATACATACATACATACATACATACATACATACATACATACATACATACATACATACATACATACATACATACATACATACATACATACATACATACATACATACATACATACATACATACATACATACATACATTACATACATACATACATATACATACATTACATACATACATACATACATACATACATACATTACATTACATTACATTACATTACATTACATTACATTACATTACATTACATTACATTACATTACATTACATTACATTACATTACATTACATTACATTACATACATACATACATACATACATACATACATACATACATACATTATACATATACATATACATATACATACATACATACATACATACATACATACATACATACATACATACATACATACATACATACATACATACATACATACATACATACATACATACATACATACATACATACATACATACATACATACATACATACATACATACATACATACATACATACATACATACATACATACATACATACATACATACATACATACATACATACATACATACATACATTACATACATACATACATACATACATACATACATACATACATACATACATTACATACATACATACATACATACATACATACATACATACATACATACATACATACATACATACATACATACATACATACATACATACAGTACATACATTACATACATTACATTACATTACATACATACATACATTACATTACATTACATTACATTACATTACATTACACATACATACATACATACATACATACATACACATACATACATACATACATACATACATACATACATACATACATACATACATACATACATACATACATACATACATACATACATACATACATACATACATACATACATACATACATACATACATACATACATACATACATACATACATTACATTACATTACATTACATTACATTACATTACATTACATTACATTACATACATACATTACATACATACATACATACATACATACATACATACATACATACATACATACATTATACATACATACATACATACATACATACATACATACATACATACATACATACATACATACATACATACATACATACATACATACATACATACATACATACATACATACATACATACATACATACATACATACATACATACACATACATACATACATACATACATACATTACATACATACATACATACATACATACATACATACATACATACATACATACATACATACATACATACATACATACATACATACATACATACATACATACATACATACATACATACATACACATACATTACATTACATTACATACATTACATACATACATACATACATACATACATACATACATACATACATACATACATACATACATACATACATACATACATACATACATACATACATACATACATACATACATACATACATACATACATACATACATACATACATACATACATACATACATACATACATACATACATACATACATTACATACATTACATACATACATACATACATACATACATACATACATACATTACATACATACATACATACATACATACATACATACATACATACATACATACATACATACATACATACATACATACATACATACATACATACATACATACATACATACATACATACATACATACATACATTACATACATTACATACATTACATACATTACATACATACATACATACATACATTACATTACATTACATTACATTACATTACATTACATTACATTACATTACATGACATATATTACATTACATTACATTACATCACGTCACGTCACATTGCATTACATACATGCAGACATACATACATTGCATTGCGTACTTACACTGGCATTAGAGTTAATTACAGTACATTACATTTCACTACATGACATTACGTTACATTACATTACATGACATTGCGTTACAGTACATACACACATACATTACATGGCATTGCATTGCATTACATTACATTACAATACACAAAATTGTATTATACTATATCATATTATATTAGATTAGATCATATACATTATATATATATATTATACATACATATTATATATGTGTGTATACATACACACACATGCAAACAAGCAAACAAACATACGTACATGCATTACATACATACATACATTACATTACATTACATTGCGTTATATTACAT